AGGCTTCCTTGCCACTCACTCTATGTTAAGTTTTGTTCAGTGGACTGCGTAAGTACATGCAGGTTTACATGGTACGAGCTGAGGTGGTCTCGTCCCCGTCGAATCCCTCTCTCTTCCTCTCTAGTTCTTGCTCCTCGCAAATCTCACCCTTGGAATGGAGACTCGATTCAGTTCCCCAACTTTCCCACCCAGATGAGAGAGACTCCACAAGCCGATCAGCCGATCAAAGTGCGAACAGGTCAATAAGAAACGCCCTGGATAATTAAAAATAAATGGCAAACATACGTAATTTTCGGCCAACCCAAAATTGCTGCTCACAGTGGAAATGTCTTGGTGTTTGCTTCTGCGCCCTCTCTTCTTTTTTCTTCCATGCCGCTCACCGTTGCTTCTCTATTCCTTCTGCAGCGTTAGACGTTTTTATTGGAGTGGCCCCGAGCGTGCAGCATGCAGATAGACTTGGACATGTTTGAAATGTCGTGCGTTTTTGCCCCATTCCCATTTCTTCCACATCTCCTTTCACAGTCGTATTTCTTCGCTTAGACGATAAAGTGACAAGCAAACACTCATCACATCATCATAAATCACAAAGGGGTTGTGCGGACGGACTCCTTGGCCCTTCCTGGAAGGCAAATGCAACATGAACAGCCATCGTCCCGTCTTTCATCGCAGAGGCGCAACTTGTCGGGGACTTCGCCTACCGACTGGCCTTCCTTTCTTGGATTTCTGCCATTTTTTGAGGGGTGGGAAACAGATGAAGGGACGAACAACACACACAAGACACCAGTCTTGTTCGTTGCATCCGCTCCCCTGCAGGACCACCACGTCCAAACGAGGGGAATTGGCGTATCAGCATCGGGCAAGTCGAGCCTGGAGGGTTCGCTCGGACAGCCGCGGCGTCGGACCGTCTGGGGCCAAGGCAGTCCGGGGTCTTTCTAAGAGCCCTCCGTTCAGGATCTACGGCTAGCTTGAGTGGAGATCGCTGGATCAGTGACGATTGTCTCTGTGCTTACTCTTCAATCGCATCCGGACCATGTTTCTTTATTACCTACCTACCGGCTTCCCGGACTTGCCTTTTTCTTTTACTGCCGGCCCAAATGGTCCTAGAAGGCTTTTGCTACGTCGATGGACAAGACTCCTTTGGTGAGACATGCTGAGGGGCCGCGGGATGATCGACACCCATTGGTAGATCTAGCCAGACCAGAGAGCTTTGGCCACCGGAATAAGCAAGCTGTGCAACGCTGGCACTGAGCTGGCGAACTTGGCCTGGGGATTATCGATAATTAAGCGTCGTATCAAAAGTTTGGGCGTTGTCACGATTGATTTCCCACTCATGGTAAGTCGGCTCTCACTTGGTCAACTACTATTGCATGAAACAATCACCGGCTGCTCATAGCAAAGAAAACTCATGGCAACTCAATCTACATCTACTAATTCTGACCTCTGCCACGGAGAAGATGCCAATTCTAGCTAAGCATGCCGCTTCAATTCAGCCAGCTCGCTTCCGCATGGCCTCTGCGCAAGCCACCGTAGTCCTCCGGCACCGTTGACTTGGGTCCAGCGATAACTTTAGCGATATACCTAGAGAGCTGGTTCGATTCCAAGAATCTGGAATTCCTCCGAGTCAGATGCAGTTTAACTCGTCTGACAGTGAGTCCATTTTGGGCAGGGATTCAGCCACATCTTCTTTGAGAAATCGAGATTATCTCGCGTCGGGAGGCAGCATAGACCTCCTCTGAGAACGGTCTGGCATCGGGAAGCGCCCCGTGAATTGTTTACAAGAAGACGCATGAGTCGAACTGGGTTCACCAATACATCGAATGAGTTTATGGTTAGACTTCGATGATCGATCATGTTGGCGTAGCTCAGCCTTGGCCGGTGCCTCTTCCTGCCTCTGCGAGCGTGATGTCCTGGCGCCGGCACTCCATATGACAGGCAAAAGCCACCGAAATCATCCCTAAGAAGCGCCTCATAACCTTCAGATTCTCGTTAATGGAGTCGAAACATCTCAAATGTTTCAAGCACAGAAGATCACGTTTGTGTGGATGGAATGGTGCATAAAGCCATGCCGACGGGATGCCTTCAACACAACTGATGAACATTGAAGCCAGTAATAGCCTATTTAATAACGATAATTACTGTCTTCACTATTCATCGAGTCCTTGGGCTCAGAATCAAAGCCGCATCCGGCTGTTGCCAGCATATTGTCTCGTTTCATGATGTCTCTCACAACAACGAATACACATGTCAACAGCAAGCCACCACCCAGATGTCTTTGCCTCACGGACTCCGACTGCCACGCGACGTTCAGGTCATCAGGCTATCCTGACAGCACCACAAGCCAGCCTCACCAGAGACTATGGCATTATAGCCTACTCTCCTTTGCCCGATTTGTGAATCCGATGGAGTGGGGCATCGGCCGATATTGGCCAAAGCGTTATCGACCTTCCGGCCAGAATGAGGTCTGGCTCATGTTCGTGGCGCCGGGGCTGAGAGTCCGGCGGCTGTGTCGGTTCGGACCCACGTGAGCTAGAGACTCTTCCGGCCGAAAGACCTTCAAAAGAATAAGTTCCAGGGTACTAAGGCTCCTTGGTCGGCGGAAATCGCATCCGAGGATTGTGGTTCGCGGCCTGATTACCATGACCGCTGGCTTATTCACATAAGAACCGCATCGGGGATGGATCAGGGCATTATTCGTCCTGCTGCGGCCCAGCAATCTGGCATCGCGACGCCAAGGGCGCTGCTGTCAATCCTGCACTTAGACAAGAGCGGCAGGCAGACGTTCTACTTTCTCCTATTGCCAATACTTGTAGGAGGGTCCATACGCGTTCTTTGGGAGAATTCTCGATGGTAATCCCACTAGGTTTCCTGCTTCATAATCCCGACCCGGAGACGGTACGGGCACCGGAACTAAGAGCCTGCCTCGCCGAAACAAAGGTGGCGGCGAGCGAGGTCATATTGGTCCACTGAGCGTTTGATTCTGGATCAAAAGTCAATTGCGTCAAAGGCTCGATATCAACGTCGAATCAGTGGCACCCTCAACGGTTTGTCTAATGTTTGATTTCATGTTCGGGGTTCCGTTTCCGTCAACAGTCACCACGATTGCTAAGGGAGATTGCTCCCGTGGGGTTCTGGCACAACAAGATTCCAGAGCTATCCATGTCGAGGTCCTTGTTCCTCAGTCCCACTTCGATTCGGCTCAAAGCGCGCTGGGTCGACGCGATCTAATTCTTCAGGGTGCATCTTTAGTATCCGGCGCTAGCATCTACAGGGCCTCGCATCATCTCATCTAACCTCCCACGTAGCCTTGACTGTTGGGTGACTTTACGACTAAATAATACAATTACTATGTGCTCAACAATACTTCATCGTCCCAGCAACCACACCGTCAGACTTTACAGAAACAGAGACCTTCTGAAAATCATCTAAAGCAACGCCCATGCAACTTACCTAGAATGCATCTTTCGATGGAAAGGCTGCACACCGTTGACTTACCTGAATAGTGCCAAATAGTATGAGCTTGAGCTCACTCTATGTGATATCCAGACATGCCAAACAACGATACTTCTGCTTTATTCTGGTTAGTGTCCTTTTTTCCGAAACAGTACTGCTAAGAATACCGTACAGTTCAAAACTCAGACAAATAGGCTTTAAGACGCCTAGCATGTTACCGTAGCCCAGGCGCAGATTCATGAGGACCTGAGTCAGGAAGCTCATGCGGTGTGAAGGCTCGAGGAAATGGTGAAGGCATAATCTCACGCTTACCTCAAGAGATGAAATTTTGTAACCCGACTCAAGTTACAATGCATTTCTTGGAATCATCACCGTCGTGGCTATATTACTCGGCTGGTGCCGCTTAAGGAAGGGGCAGAGATAACTTAATGAGACCTTGAGACTACGGAAGCGGTGTTTGAAGCTAGCAGGGGCAAAACAATGAGACTCAGTCTCCCTACCACAGGTGAAATGCAGAAATTCCTCAGGGTATCGCTATACTCCAACCTGAAACGCACAGATGCAACTGGAAGTAAGAATGAATGCCCTCTGGGAAGAAAACCGGCGGACTCGGCACACCAACGAGAGGAAAGAAACGCTCAAGGTACTTCAAAAAAGCAAGTCCCTAGACTTGCTACATAATGCCAAATTCCGCCGGGTCGCCTATGTGATCACAGATCAGGATGATCCGGGAGTATTCCTGCTGGCGGAATGCTGCAGTGATAGGTCATGAGTAGCAAAGATCGCTCAATGTCGGCACACACAGTCACAGTTACTACTTCTCAGATGGAAAGTTTACATGCTGAGGACATGAAAGTGGCTTCCAGAAATAATTTCACGGAAGTTTCTATTTACCAGAACCGGCTACATGATGCATCCGTCTCTCGGGTGTGGCTACGCGCATACGGGAGAGTAATATAGGGCAAGCTTCAGCAACATTGGCTCAGATTCCTGCCATGAATTCGTGATCGTGCTTCATCACCAAATATCACAGACTTTCAGCACGTCTTACGATTCTTCATTCCAGTGTTGAACTGCTGCTGAAGCAAGCCCCCTATTGATCACTCACACGTCTATGTACTATTAAGAATTGCTACACCCGTGGTCTGACCATAATTGAGGGTACCTTCGCGGCTCAGTCTAACTTTTCGAGTTCAGCCACCTTATCTACCTTAAAGCATGCGTTGAACGTGTCACATATCATGACGCTGAGTGGCCAGCTTTGGCTTCCATCGTCTTGATCTAGGTTACAGAGTGCCTTGGTAAGGAATTCGATTCGCTGATTCTGTCTCCGCCACTACTTCAAGCTGCTACATAAGGCGACGAGGCTATTTGGTATGTAACGCGTCCCTCATGCACAAAAGCCTCCGGCTAGGGTGCTATAAATTGTAATCGTTAGCCGGACGCAATCTAATCTCTTTCACCATTTGCACCCCCGAAAATACTATCTGAACACTCCAATAAGACCGATTTTATTGCTCATTTGCTACCAAAAAAAGAGAAAAAACACCATGGCCGTCGCCTCGCCTCAAACGGAGACATTCTCCGTCTTTCTGCAGGGATACCTTTCACGCCCTGATCACTTCTTCGAAGTAGTCTCGCCCGGCAGCAATTCGCAACCACCCAACCTGATCCGAAAACGATTCATCTTCAAACAGGCCTCTTTTAGCGGATTCACGACCGATCTCGATCCGAGTTTGAACCCCATGCATGGACAGATTGGTCTCTATGTCTCAGGCTTGACGGACCCAGAGGTCCAAAAACTAGACGACTTTACACGGAATGTAGTCATGTCGACATGCATGAAAATGCAAGGCAAGGTGTCACTCATGTGCAACCACGGAACGGTCTGTATGAGGGAGGTTACTCTTTGGTTAGGGATCCCGAGGAATCAAGTGACACAAACCTCGAACGATATTCAGAATCAACAATTTGCTGGTCACGGAAGTGGACCTAGGGCCGGAAATTCCAGCAACATAGCGAACCAAGCAGCTCAACCCTGGGATGGATTCCAAAACCAGATCGACAACGGGAATGGATCCTCATCATCCTTCGGCAACGTTCCAAATAGTACCGTTGGAAACAACAGCCAAAACCTGAGCCAAGATCTCAACGGCGCTGCACGGGCTGCTTGATTTCCCCGCATCTCACGAGTGCAGCGTCAACTTCATGGTTCAAAATGATCTCAGCTAGAATAAGAGCCGAGCGAACAAACGCGATCATACACGAAAACACACGGAGTTGTCAATACACTCCAAGTCGGACATACCTACGAAAACCACAACATATGACGAATGTACGCCATAGCTTTTGAGTTATCAGTTTCACAAGAGGAAAGGGGGCTTAGTACCAACTTTCGCAATGGATTTCCAGCTTTTAATGACTGCGAAGCAAGAAGATTCAGATCAGACGACCACCACGCAGCAAATGCAGTAATTCTTTCTTCGAGTTTGGACAGTCTATCGGTGTCAGGGTAGATTCAAAAAATTGATATGAAATGAAGTCTTTCGCAATTCGTGTGATTCCCCCTCTATTTCTAGGTATCTCAAGCACAAGAGAACTGAACCGTGTAATGATTCTTACTTAGGCAACATGATGTGAGTTAGCCTGGATGCCCGCGACTTGCGAAGTCTCCATGTAAACCGTTGTATCAATTGCCGACGTGGAGTCTCCTGGAGGTTTCAGCATGGACGAGTCAAGACTCAGATACGAATTCAAGTTGGCGCTGGTCAATAGCGTGGAAATTCGGTACGACGCTGACATGCTACGGAAATCTCCTCTGTTTCTAGTGAAGATCGTCATCTTGGCTTAACATGACAGGGGAACGATGATGAGGGCTCGCCATTCTCACTGCAACGCTAAAAAAGAAATCCTCCCCGCACTTTTCATTCCCAAAATCTATAAAGAAGGTTGATTACGAAGTTTTCATCTTAAAACGCGGCATAGTGTCTGAATCTTCATCCAAGATTTGGGGCCGGCATCTGCTACACTTTTATGCATGACAGCTCTGTCAGCGCAATTAAGCCATGGCTTCTCGACTGTCAGCGATACTTTTGTACGCTCTGGTGGCTTCAGCAGACATCGCACCGGCTCGTTGCAAAGTATATCCAGGTGACATCTCCTGGCCCTCTGACGAAGCCTGGGCGGCTCTCAATGAACGGGTAGAAAACCGCCTCCTTAAGCCACGACCGCAGGCAGCAGCATGCTACAGTGGCGCCGAGTACGATGAGGCCGCCTGTGCCAGCATGACGGCCACTTGGACGAACTCTTACACCCACCTTGATGACCCTATCGAAATGTTCTCGCCCGTCTATCAGGGTCTCACGTGTTTGCCACCCAACATTTACGACTCTGGCAACTGTACCATGGGTGGATTCCCGTGGTACGTAATTAATGCCACTTCTGCCAAGCACGTACAAGAAGGCGTTAAGTTTGCCAAAGAGACGGGTGTGAGACTGGTAGTCAAGAATACAGGACATGACTTCTCAGGCAAATCGGGTGGTGGAGAGTCATTGAGTATATGGACACATCACCTGAAAAGCATTGAATTCATCGAGAATATTACCGACGATACCGAGGGATACTCTGGTCCTGCTTTCAAATGTGGCACCGGTGTTCAAGCTTTCGAGATATACAAGGTGGCGTCTGAATACGGTAGAGTTGTTGTTGGTGGCGAAGGACAGGTGCGTTGACCAAGATAGTACTGAACGATATTGGAACTAACTTTTCCTAGACTGTTGGGGTGATGGGAGGGTACATACAGGGTGGAGGCCATTCTCCTCTGAGTTCGATATATGGTACTGGGGCAGACCAAGCCCTGGCCTTCGAGGTCGTGACAGCGGACGGAGACCTTGTGACTGCAGACCACAGCCAAAATGCTGATCTATTTTGGGCGCTTCGAGGTGGTGGTGGCTCGACCTTTGCTGTAGCAATCTCGGTCACAGTCAAGGCCTTTCCAGACGTTCCCACAACTGCCTCGGCGTTCAAATTCTCTACGGCGGACGGTCTGTCCAACGAGACTTTTTGGAGTGGTGTACGCAGCTACTTCGACTCTTTTATTCACAACGCCGACAATGGCACGTACTCGTACTTCCTCTTGTTGCACAACAACCCAAGCCCTGGGAATTTTCTCTTCCAGATGACGCCCTTCTTCGCACCCAACAAGACAGCAAAGGAAGTGACCAGTTTGCTAGACCCATGGTTCACCAAGCTCCACGATCTCGGGATTAGGTTCGACCCTAATATCACAGAATACCAAAGCTTCTATCCTGCCTGGAAAGACTTCTTCCCGCTCGAGGTAGTCGAGAAGGTAAACGTTCAAAGCGGTTCGCGTCTCTTTCCCCGCAAGAATTTCGAAAGCGAAGAGCTGAAGCAGGCCACTTTTGAAGCTATCCGCACATCCCTCGAGACTAATCACGTCTTTGTTGGATTCAACATCAAGGCCATCAGTCCCGATGACCCAGACAACGCTGTCAACCCAGCCTGGCGCGAGAATATCTTGTTCGCTCTCCAGTCCGTCAGGTGGTCCATAAATGCCACCGCGGAGGAAATTTTAGAAGCCCGCAAAGGTTTCACTTTCGGAGATATGCAGCGGTGGAGAGATGTCTCTCCAGGTGCTGGCTCATACCTTGCTGAGTCGGACAGGATGGAGCCGAATTTCCAACAGTCGTTCTATGGCGACAGCAAATACCCTCGGTTGCTGGAGCTGAAACGTAGATGGGACCCTGAGGATGTTTTCTATGCTGCGACTGCTGTCGGTAGTGAGTTCTGGGAAGTTGTCACCGAAAATAAGCTCCCCCACGAGAATGGAAGACTGTGCCGGGTGGTTTGATAATCCGGGGGAGAAAGCAAGCAGCATATGCTCGAATGTCTATCGGTATTTATTTCTACTTACCTTCTTCAGACACAATGTAGCACACTTCAATTTATTACTGTGGCAAGTAAGTAGTGAGACGATGGATCCGATCCCTCCAACCGCTCTCAGTGCTCCGCCTATTATCGCCCAAAAGTCGCCTGTGTGTCTAGGAAACCGAGAAACTATAGGAGATAGGTGCATCACTGAAATGTGTTTTGAGTCTGTTCAATCCTATCGGAGCTACCCTTGAATCCATACCCATCCGATTGTTCTCCAGTTAAAACTCCCGGTCAGGATGAAGCCATACATGTAGACTGAAGGTTTGAAGTCTACCAGCCAGTAAGGTAAGGTACACTTGTGCGCCGTCTAACGGCCAAACTCTCTTGCATTCCAAGGAAGAGGTCCAGGTTTCTGACCCTATAAGAAGCGCTCTCCCATCCTCTATTAGTCGCACATCAATGCTCAACCCATCCTCCATTCACATTTCCACGCCCTGAGATATCCGTTTGAGCCACGCAAGTCTGCCTGCAAGTAACAGACTTGAAGCACATTTCTGCCATTGTTTTTGGAAACCCCTGGACGATAATCTCGCCATGGATATCAATTCAACTATAGCTTCTATTCCGAAGGTGGATATCATGCCGCCTACTATTGAGGAACAGGCAAGCCTATGGAACTACACTGGCCCCGAATGGAATTGGACAGATTCAGACTGGGATCACATGTACGGCGAGCCCATTGGAATATGGGAATCATTGGCCAACCACTTTCTCGACCATATCCGGTCACAGAGATATCTGATTCAGACAGACATACTCTTCTACCCAGCTCTGATCTACATTCTCAACTTGGCTTCTCTCGCAATCGCCTTCAACTCCAATGGCCGATATCGCACAGCCTTCGTCGGTGCATCCCTCGCCTTGGCAGCCGCTATCATTCAACAAGTCTCCAACCTACCAATCTTCTACGCTGTCAAGATCACCCTTGTTCAGGTACTCGTCATTCAAAACATGGGTGCAGCTGTTATGATGCTATGGGAAGATATCGCCGTTACTCAAGAGCAAAAGAAACTTCCTTGGGGACAACGCATCCTCGCCACCTACAAACTCATGTGGAACGCACGCTTTGTCAACACCAGTCGTCCGGCTCCTGTCCTCCACTTGATCATGGCAGACGAAGAGCGCAAGAGGCAGCTCGCAGAAGCATCCATCACAGCTACGATCGAAGAGACATCCGCCGAGAAAGCCACCATCAACAATGAAAACTTGGATCAGAGCTCGGCTGAGGCAAACAACAACAAAAGTGTGCTCGAACGGATCAATAGTTACCGTTACCTTGTACTTCGAGTCAGCCATAACGCTTGGAACAAAACCAGCCAGCTCTTTGCTCGCTTTTGGAACTCTCTCAGTCCAAGAAACCGCTGGATCATGGCTACGATAGCCAAGATCACTCTCATCTTCATCTTGGAACGTGTCAAGGACTACGTTTGGGACACGTACGCCTGGTATTCCCATGAAGACATTGCCCCCCACAAACGTTCTTACTTCCGCCGTCTCCTCCGAAATGAGACCGACCTACGGGAGGTGGTTATCCGCTGCTACTTCGCCTTCGAGGGCGTTTGGGGCGCTTTCTACTGGTACACCTTCATCCACTCAACCGTCGCCCTTTTCTTCGTAGCGCTTCACATTGATGAACCCGAAGAGTGGCCTCCGGTCTTCGGCGATATCCGCGAAGGCTGGAATCTCCGGCGCTTTTGGAGCAAATACTTCGATCGACTCATCTACCGCACCACTAACGGATTGGGCGAGATGATCTTGACTACCCTTGGCGTAGGTCAGCGACCTTTCCGGGGAAAGACTCGCTGGGTCCTGAATGGACTCATCTTCTTCCTTAGTGGTATCTTCCATGCTGGCACTGAGTATATCTGCGGAATCAAGTGCCACGTTGGTGTGGAGGTCTGGTGGTGGATGTTGAACTACATCGCGATGATCATGGAAACGGCCTTTCTCTATGGCCTTCAGACTTACTTCCCTCGGTTCTATCATAATATGAGTGGAAGAGTTGGGAAGTCGATCGGATACTTGTGGCTGTTTGCGTTCCATTTCTATGCCAGTCCCAAGAACCAGTTCATTGCACTGAACTGTCTGCCGCCGTTCTAGTCTCAGGGCACTGGGTAGTATGTGGCTCTGTGGGAAGTGATGGGAATGCTTGACGATTAGACGATTAATGAGAGATGAATGCTTCGAGGGCATGACATTGTAGTAGTGTTGGATAATAACATCCAGTACGATAGATCCAATAAGAAACCACACAATCACAACATGATCTTATACGCGCTTGTGGAACTCCTCGTTCAAGTATGTCATGTGCCATCACGTAGACGCATGTATTCAGCTAGTTACTCAAAGGCAGCCTTCCCCTTTACTTCATCTTCGAGCGACCTTCTGGCAAGACCCCGGATAGCTTTTCATACTTCTCTGCGGCGGTCTCCCTCAAGTCTCTCCGGGCGTTTAAGGTGGTAAGGTTCCCAATTTCTCATACACAGGTTGAAGTCAACATCTGGAGTTTCAACTGATCATAGAAGTCCCGAAATGCCACACACGAATGCAATTGAGCTAACCCCCGCATCTGGGGCCAGCATCGGAGTTAGCTTGACAGGTGCCACTGCGCTTGACACCGTCACCTGAACTAGCCTAGCGCTAAGTCACGATCTTCCGGAGCTTCTCATACACATCTTAAGAAGCGCTTACTTCTGCGCTTGGAGGATTATGTCGCATTTTGAAAATAAACCAAACATACAGATGCCTGTTCGGCGGGTTAGAGACTTCGACTTTATCCAATGATGCAGTTACCCTTCTCATTTGCTGCTGCATACCATTCGTGCATGCTGTTCCCAGCCTCCACCGTGCATTGGGCCGGATTTGCAATTGGCAGCCAAACTCACCTGTGCATGCAAGCCAACCTCGCCAGTCGAGGGCTTGAGTAGTAAAAACTGGTGCTGTTCATCGTCTCCCGAACTGATGTCCGTCACGTGCAATATTTTCCACCTAGAAAAGTTGGAGTATCGGGTGTTGCAGGCGTCCTAGTTCACTCTAAGTGTATTATGAACGCCGGTAGCTGCATGTGAAATCTCTCGCCTCGAAGCACTAACCCCAGAATTGACTTACAAGGGTCGGTTAGTCACACACACACTTGACTTAGAGTCACACTTCAAGAATACGCCATGTACATCCACCTCGACTCGCAGTAAAGGCCGACCTTCTACCGTACTTACTGTCACATAAAGTCGATAACTCTTACATCTTTCATATTGATTCCTGTCATTTTGGTTTCTTTTCTTACTGAACAGGCAAGATCAGAACACTCTGGACAATGGCGAGAAATCTCAGCACTCTGCCGACCTACCTCACCCGCCTCTTCAGTCTGGCGGGCAGAACAGCAGTTGTCACTGGTGGTAGCTCAGGAATCGGAAAAGAAATTGCCCTCGCCTTAGGTCAAGCCGGCGCAAAAATCATACTCATTGCACGGAGATCACAACCTCTAGCAGCGACAGTCGATCAGCTCACACAACTTGGTGTCCCCGCGACGTCCATCACGGCAGACCTCGCCAACCTAGCAGACCTCAACCACGCCAGCGCTCGCATCAAGTCCGCGCACGGCATACCAGACATCCTCGTCAACGCAGCAGGCGTCAACAACCGCCCGCCATTGTCACGAATAACACAAGGAGACTGGGACTACACCATCGCCGCGAACCTAACTGCCCCTTTTGCCTTAGGCCAAGCATTCGGCCCGGGAATGGCAGAGCGCGGAAGCGGACGCATTATCAATCTTGCCAGCCAGCAGTCATTCCGCGCATTTGGTAACAGCGGTGCTTATGGTGTAGCAAAAGGCGGTTTGGTGTCGCTTACGCGCTCTCAAGCCGAGGCCTGGTCACCGAGCGGGGTTCTGTGCAACGCCATTGCGCCGGGACTCGTGGACACTCCGATGACGGAAGAGGTTTTTTCGGATACGGAGAAGGCGGAGACACATGCGGCGCGGACAATGACTGGACGTAATGGCAAGGCCGAGGACTTTGCCGGAGTTGCCGTATGGTTGGCGAGTGATGCAAGTGCTACTGTCACAGGGCAAACCATTTGCGTTGATGGGGGGTACTCGGCTCATTGATATGATCTGATCTTTCACGCATTGAACGCTCTACTTCGAGCATCTCCTACAGTATTACAGCACATATACTGTTTCAGCTTATACAACCATGAGCAGAGGCTCATGTTGACGTCTCACTAAAGAGACCGTTCCTGGCAAATCCGCGGGGTCCATGAGAAACAACATTGGGTTATACTTCGTCTGATTCAATATCTGAGCTTGGCATACGCAATCCCCTTTCTAAACTCCCATCAACCTCCGATGCAGTGGTGAGTGGAATTTTGGGTGATCATTGTGTTCGTTTCTGTATAGTAACTTATGGATACCTTCGCAGTTGAGGCATTGAGAATAGAGATTGAACAAGCCAATTATGCTACTTCATCACTCATGTTCAGATCGTCAAAGTCGCAAATGTGGCGGGATCACTGACATGATATATTACAAGCGTGCTTCACCGTTACCATGAGTCACACCAGACGTGCATAGTATTTTCAAGTCCTCTACATGATTGAACACTTCCAGTTGATCATGCATCATGACTCTAATTATAGTGTATTCGTAATAGAAATAAAGCGTGTGATTTTAGATTGCGGCGTATGAGGAAGTGCGAAGGGACAGTTCTGTAAGTTGCCACGGAAGTTATGAACTTCTACACTATCGAGACCACATATCGAGAGAAGAACGTACGCCCCCATCATCGCTGTGATGCTGCTCTCGATATCGAACGCCCATGAACCCGGCAATGAGATCCTGACTTGGTTCGGAGATATGCACTTCAGTATGGACACCCAATTCGTGTTATACTGAGTTCATCTGTTGCGCCCCATCGGTTTCGGACTCGCCGGGGGCTTCCTCTCGAAAACGCGAGAAGCACGAAGACGCGGGAGCCACACACCATCATTTTGTTTGATTCATAAGATGCAGAGAACTCTATATCAACTCACTTGGGTTGTATAAAGCCAGTGCGCACTCAGCAGTATGAGCCGTAAGACCTGCTACCTAGGATCGCTACCCTATTGCTCACTTTTAGAATATCAACATTCCAGAGATGTCTTCCATCACTGAGCTGCTTTACGACCTTGTCGGAAAGCTTTCTGCTCTCATTGAATCCCCATTAAAGCAATCTGAGATGAATGAAAAGACTACACAAATTGCGGAACGGGTCATCGCTGCTGCCCGGCCTGATATGCCCGACTGGACTACAAGGGTCAATGGCTTCGGCGAGTTCGTTGCCATGAAGCTTTTTATTGATTGGAACGCGTTTGAAGCAATTCCTCCAAGTGGAACTATCTCGTATGAAGAACTTTCCAAGAAGCTCAACGCTGACAAGTCTTTGGTTCGTAAGTGAAAACCAAGGGCTCCGTTTTGCGCGGCATACCGATGCTAATGACACTGAAGAACGGATTGCATGGCATCTGATTGCGCGTGGAGTACTGATACAAGTAGGTGAAGAGGAGTTGGCACATACCGAGATCTCCCAACGCTATCTTCCAGGCTTGCCGGATACAGTCGTGTTTAGTTTCTGGTAAGAAAACGTGGACCTTATCGGAGTCATGTTCTTTCGGTGCTAAAGGGGGTCAGGTATGAGGAAACTATCGTGCCTTCTGTGAAAATGCCAGAATACTTCGCAAAGTACGGCCGCCGAGAGCCAGATTCTGAGATCCGAACACCACTGGCCTTTGGATTTGGCCAGCCAGAGATGACGCCGTACGAAGTTTACTACCAAGAACCAAAGAGAAGGGACCAATTCCAGAAAGCCATGCAAATGGCACAATATGCGGCCCCTTTCACCGGCTCGTACAACTTCAGTTGGATCAAGGAGAAAATCCGAAACATGGACGAGCAACGGGCAGTACTTGTGGACGTTGGCGCCGGAAATGGCCACGTCACCAAGGCCATATTGCAGGAAAACTCATTCATCCCAACGGAACGCGTCGTTCTCGAGGATAGAGAGGATGTGCTTAATCATGTAGCCGCAATGAACGATCCGTGGCTGAAAGATGCCAAGTTACAAATCCACGATTTTCATACAAGGCAGCCTATCAAGCGTCAGTACTTCATTATCCTGTCCAAACTCACAGAAACCTTGACTCATGACTTCTCACAGACGCTCTGGTTTATTGGATACGTCGATGCCTACATAATTATGGCGATGAGACTTGTGTCAACATACTAATACACATCGCTGAGACCATGGCATCCGATAGCAGGCTTCTCATTGCCGACAACGTCATACCTAATCCGCCTCCGATTTCAGAATGCATGCTAGACTTTACGATGTTGAATATTGCTGGCAAGGAGAGAACGGCCACTGCTTTTAATGACGTCATCACCCGTGCGGGACTGAGAATGGTAAAGGCGCATGGTATGGATAAGAAATTACAAGTTGTCGAGTGTGTCAAGGCTTGAGAATGTGTTTGGGCCTTCAGCCATGGCTTGAGGCTAGGACTGGTGATGTATTTCAACATTGAAAATATTTAGTCGTTCAACTAGCTTTTGGAATGAACTCAACGGAGCACACATAATTGTTTCCGAGATATGTAGATATTCAAACGAAGGACCTTCAAATCATATGAGTTGTCCACTGCAGTTTATCTTGAAATATAGAAATTACTGGTATACGTCGAAGTTCCTGATAGCTCTCGAGTCAACTTACCTAGATTCGCTGCAATATCTCCGTAGCATACGTCGGTCTAAGTTGTAAAGATATTAGAGCGCCTGTATAGTTTTGTGTAAGAATTGCCGACTCATGATTGTAGCCGTAAGCCAGTCACCTGCAGTATGCTCCTTTGATGTAGGATATCCTGGTTCAATGACAATCAGGTTCGTCTCGTCTAGTTATATCTTTGTCACTATTAGTACTAGTAAATACTCCCGACAAACCTAACTACTAAGTACCGAGAAATTGTCAATGTCAAAACCAAATCGAAAACCGCTCTGCTTCTCAACAAGTTTCAACTTCGACGTCACCCACTGCTTCGGTACCTGGGATAGAGGAGAGTCGATTTTCGTCCAAAGACTGGCTTGAGTTCAAATCTCAGGGAGACCCCAAGAGCACCCTAAGGATCTCGGGTCCCATACTGAGAAGTTTATGAATGCGCGAAGGCAAAATGATCAGGATCTGCAAGTCTGGCCAGGAAGCACAGCTTCAACGACGGGCTTCTCCGATTCCGATACGTAATCTTTACCAAAGACTCTTCTCAAACAATCAACTCGATATTGTTCTATTCTGACTTGAGAGCTTTAAGCGAAGCAATACCTGTATCTTCTCTTACGCGACCTCATCCTGGTTTGACGTGCTAGCCAACAGCTTCCAAAAGGGTCCGCTGGGAGACAGTTAATATGCGGACCTAACCTTAACTCCCCCCACAATCATGCCCTTCCTGCAGAGTGAATAATTGGTCTCGTTTAGCCATGTACTGTTTCTAAAAACATCTAATCGTCATACTTAACTCAGAATCTCTTCAAGTTTCCCAAAATACTCATTTAGGGCAATGCGGGGCCTCCTTTAGGTCACATTCAGCGGACATTGTCTTCATTTGGGTGAGCATAATTGCCCCGTCATCATCCCAAGTTCGGAAAGCTTGTGATCACCGGTGGTATTGGGTGGTAGAACCACAGAGTGCTGGGATGTGAGGCAGCTCGTAGGATGAAGGCGCACTGGGTCGTTCGATCAGTCAGAGGAGCATGTCACTAAGATTTGTTTGCAGAGCGACCTACTCTACCAAGATATTTAGAGACAATTTTACAATTGCGGCCGCGTAGTTTCGTTACACACGTGCGGCTGGTGGTTACTAGATTCTTGGTAAACTTCAAATGCGGGTTTCTCGGAACTTGTGTGGAGTCCGTTCACCTGTGTATCCCGATTGCAAACAGTAATGGCGGTAAATCATGGTTCAGATTAAGTTAAATCTAGCTTATATTACTGCGAAAGTGATGAAAACATTCAGACTCAATCTCAAAAGCTTCAGCTGTGAGGTTAATGGGGTGTTGAATTGTTTGTTAGCCTGCTACTCAAGATTGGCATTTGCTAGAGAGTTGAGTATAGCGAAGTCATTGGTTCCATCATCGTATGAGGAGCACATAGATAAGTGCAGTTATAGATACTAGAGTACATGAAATGACAACAATCGAAATATGGTAATAAGTTTATCTATGGAACCGCGCGTGCAACCAACAACTTGACAGCTCAAGCAATGATAAACTGTAAGCTTCGTTATCTTGGCGCGCCGCGTACCTGTCCCATCCGACCCACGGTGAACTGGGATGCCTCCTCCCGGCGATACCGGGGTTGCCGTGAGCTATCCGGAATTGGCAGGAGAACTCAGGTGAACCCCGCCCGATTGTTTGCGGAGTGGATTCCTCCCGGCATTTCGCTCGATATTTCTCCAAAACATTTCCCTCTCTCGGTCTTCCCCCTCAGATAACCAATGAAGACTTGGATACTGACAGTTCTGACTTACTGTTTGCACGCCGAATCCCAGCCACTCACGCACTTGACTCGCTGTTTCTTGGCTCCATGTTGGCTTCCATGCAGGTTTCCTGCAGACTGCCCGCGCTAGTGGCTAGGTACAGAGTCCAGGACTCCAGAGGTTGCTGATGCTTTGCAGTAACACCTTGGTAGCTCACCGAACTTTGAAGCTCGACGTCACGAACCGGGCCGGGCCCTGCTGCTGAACGGCGAGGCGGACAGGCACACACGCGGGGAAGCTAGATAGAACGTGGGATGATTTCGATTCCGCAATCGGGTTTTCCCTATCTACGGAAACGGGGCACATCTGACATTACCAACGGTTGCGATAGGGTACAGCGGCTGCCGTTGGTGATCTGCAGGCTACCGAAATGAAGCCATGAGCCTTTTCCACGTTCCCCCCAACCTGTCGGGTCCATAACCTCCTTGGTTTGTGGGCGAAGTCGGCGAGTCTGCTCGATTGCGCCATAGAGCGTGAAGTTTTCCGTTCATATTAAACGTTGGCAGCTTCTTCTCGTGGCTACCTTGATGGTTTCCTGTTTCTCTCGGTTCTGCCAGGCCGTTCTTGGTTCCAATACTGCCGCTTGCTTTCCCTTAGGACCTCTAGTCACACCGTGCTGTTCCTTCTCGACGAGCTGTGAATTAGACGAGACACCTTGCGAAGCTTGTTTGAATCCCTGTCGGCTCATCATGAAGTTCTCCCTGACTTCCGCTGCCCTCGCGCAGCTCCTGCTCGGCATCACCATCCAGTCCACCCTCGCGGCCCCGAGCCACAGCACGATCCCGAAGCTGGGTGCCGTCGCCTCAGAGTCCGACATCTGCAGCAAGATCGGTACCGAGCTCCTCAAGAAGGGCGGAAATGCTGCCGACGCGACGGTCGGCACCGTTCTCTGTGTCGGTGTCGTTGGCATGTACCACAGCGGCATCGGCGGCGGCGGTTTCATGCTCGTGAGGTCGAGCAATGGCACCTACGAGTTCATTGACTTCAGAGAGACGGCCCCGGCCGCCGCCTACGAGAACATGTACACGAACAACACGAGAGCCAGCTTGTACGGAGGTCTCGCTAGGTAAGCTGAATCTCTGCGACAGGGCAAACAAGCGACACCAAGACTGACCTGGCGATTTTCTCAGCGGTGTCCCTGGTGAGCTCCGCGGCCTGGAGCATTTGCACAAGAAGTACGGCAAGCTGCCTTGGTCAAAGGTAGTCGAGCCTGCGGTCAAGGTCGCCCGCTATGGCTGGCGCGTCAACGAGGACTTGGTCAGATACATGAAGTCAGTCACCCCCAATGGCAACTTCCTGACCGATGATCCGTCATGGGCCATCGACTTTGCGCCGCACGGCACCCTTCTCAAGCTCAATGAGACGATCACGCGCAAGCGCTACGCCGACACGCTTGAGGTCATCGCAAAGGAGGGCGTCAACGCCTTCTACACCGGTGCCATCGCCAATGCGACCATTGCCGCATTGTCAAAGTCCAACGGCACCATGACCATGGCCGACCTCAAGAACTACACCGTCGCCATCAGAGAGCCCGCGCAGATCTCGTACAGGGGCTACAAGCTCACGGCCTGCAATGCCCCCTCCGGCGGCATCGTCGCCCTCAGCGCTCTCAACATCGTCAGCGGATACGAAGGGTTCGGCGACCCGGCCTCGCGGAACAACACCGTCCACAGACTGGACGAGTCCATGCGCTTCGCCTACGGCCAGCGCACCGAGCTCGGCGACCCGTCCTTTGTCGACGGTCTCTCGGCCTACACCAAGAGCATGATCTCCCCCGAGGTCGGCGCCGAAATCCGCTCCAAGATCTCCGACTTCCGCACATATAACGTGTCCTACTACAACCCAGAGGGCATTGAGTCCCTCGAGACCCCGGGAACCTCGCACATCGCCGTCGCCGACGCCAGCGGCATGGCCATCTCCCTCACCACGACTGTAAACCTCCTCTTCGGCTCCCAGCTCATGGTCCCCGAGACGGGCGTCATCATGAACGACGAGATGAACGACTTCAGTATTCCCGGCTCCAGCAACGCCTTCGGCTTCGTCCCCAGCCCGGCCAACTACGTCCGTCCCGGCAAGCGTCCCCTCTCCTCCATCTCCCCCGTCATTGTCGAGCACCCCGACGGCAAGCTCTACTTCGTTATCGGCTCGGCCGGCGGCAGCCGCATCATCACCGCCACTATCCAGAACATCCACAACGTTCTCGACAGGAACCTGACCGTGTCGCAAGCCCTCGCCGAGCCTCGCTTCCACGACCAGCTGACCCCCAACACGGCTGCTTTCGAGTACGCTTACGACAACAGCACCACGAGCTACCTTGCGAGCTTGGGCACGAATGTCACCTGGGCTGCACCCGGCGGTAGCACAGCGCAGGGTGTGAGGCTGCTGCCGAACGGCACGTTCGAGGCAGCTGGCGAGCCGAGACAGAAGAACTCTGGTGGATTCGCTGTCTAATCACGTTAAAGTAATTGTAGAGTAGCTTGTCTAATAATGTAATAATGTCTTCAAAGCGCCCTTGTGTGAATTCGGCCACAAGTCTACCAGGTCAAGTTCAATGCACCAAGTGAATTTTACAATACCATGTGAGTGACTTTTGCTCGAGTCTACTCGGGTATACTTAGAAATAATCAGGTGGAGTTGCGTTGGTGACCATTTACTCACTCAAGCTCCAGACATCAACACGCACATCACTGTAGCTCAGCCAACTGATGCCTCCTAGCTTTTGGCTCAATATGCATCTCCCTCACAGCGCTCCTGGCTTCCAACTCCGGCTTGGCATAGTACTCCCCCGCGCCATGAGATGCTTCTTGACTCCCATCCAATTCGCCCGGATGATTGACTTCGTAAACAGGGCCATGCGCATCCCGGCCAGGTCGCAAGCGCTTCTGTCGCCGGCGCCACAAGAAGAAGGCTGCAGCACACAGGGCAATAGCCACGAGAGAAGTACAAGCGCTCACGGCAACAATCGCACCGGTGGATATGCCAGAGTTGGTGGAGTTTGAGGTAGCCGGTGATGAAGACGACGTCGGTGACGCAACACTCGTGAGGCCACCAGAGCTAACTGGTGAAGCAGACGCGGTGTCCACCGCCGAGGTCGCAGTTGCAGATGTTGAGGTCACTTCAGTTGCAGCTTGAATATCTTCACATCAGCATGGAGTTACAACAAATCGATGATCGAATCAGGGCAGCACTCACAAGTAGTGACTTTGTCAGTCTTTTCCATCTGACAATACGCGTCAAACACGCTCGTCGCGCTCTCAACCTCGACCCCAGACCGTCCGCAATTCTTCGCAACCGACGTCGCAATAATCTCCCTAAACCTGTCGGAACTCGCCGTGCAGAAGCAACTATACGACGTCGTCTTCCCGCCGTCACCGCACCCCGCCACCATGTCCCGGACAATCGAGCTGATGGGCGGCTCGGCACATGACGGCAGTGAATCGTACCCGTCGGCCTGGTTGAGGTAATACGTAGCGTGCGCTTGGCGGAAGCCGCTGAGCAGCAGAAGCAGACTGCAGATCAGGTATCGATAGGCATTTTGTTCGAAGGAGGCCCGCATGTTTCCGTTCGTTCGGCGGCGGCCTGGCTTGTTGCCGGGAGAGACCTGTCAGCAGGAATAAGGTTTGAACCTTGGTTACAAGTAGAAATTGGACAGGGGCTGGGTTTCGGGGCAGTGGACTCGACACCTACTCCGCGCAGAGCGTCAAAAGGGGAGAAGAAGCATCAAACCAGGTGCAAATTCACTGGGGGCTTGCAGGTCATAAGTAACTTCTCAAAGAGGACTTGCTCTTCATCAGCCTCGTGACTGAAACATGGTCGCCCATTGCTCCCTACGGCAAGGGGGGCAGATATTCCCGCCTTCAATCGGCCAGGGTATTGACGCTCTCGACGCCACGTGTATAGCGTGCTTGTGAATCTGCTCACACGCTGTTAGGTATCCGCACCCATGGTGTTCATCAACGAGGAACAGCATGGATCCTGCATGGTCCATTCCATTACCTAGTTGATGGTCCAGAATTGGCTCTGTCTTAGGCGTCACTCACCAGGCAAACCGTCGGTGGTCCTATCGGTGGTCAATTTCCACGAAGCGCGGGGCTTTTTCCCAAAGCCTGCAGATTGTCTCAACCCTCAGCCCCTTCTAGAGACAGCTAACTCCATCTGAGGCAACTGTCTCAGTACGGCTGAAGTGCAAGACAAAGATAAGCCACTCTTCGATGGTGAGTCTGCCTGCCGCCGACAATTTGAAATAGCCACGACTGATGTTCTCAGTAACTGAGAACGTTAAGCTTCGTAGTGTAGAGACTTTTTTTCTAGCTCTCTTCTAGTCTATCCGTATGTGACGTGCTGAGCAAGGGACCAGGTAGGAGGAGGAGGAGGAGTGGGTTCTCGCGTTGCAACGTTGGAAAGCACGCGTGCAATCGACTTTGACCGGGCCACGAAGCCCCCTTTCTGTAGCATAATTGCCGATCTCGGTCTTCGCCGCCGATACCTTAGCGTATTTTCTCTCAAGAAGCAAGCGTCTTCCAGGCAAGACAGGGCTGGCGGCACAAGGACGCCAGCTAGGCAGGCTGTGAGAAGCTGAGTAGAGCTGATTCTGTTTGGACTGCCAGCATGCCGCGCGATCCATGAGGTAGGGGAGCGTGCTAACTTGGGAAGCCCTGCGGCCACTCGCAACTTTCAAGACCAAGCATGTTCGTTCTGGCCCCAGGCTATGTTTCTCTTGGTGGCTCGCAGGATTGTTTGTACGAGGACTCAAAAGATGAGAGAAAACTGAGGAAAGGATGCATGTAAGTGCCAAAGACATACAGAGAGCTGCGAGTTCTTTCGCAAACACAGAGTTCCAAGACTCTTATAGTACGTATATCGCATTGCTCAGCATTCAACGAATAAGGCAATCGCTCAAGTTCCCAAGAATGAACTGGCGACTCATGAGTTGAGCGCCAAAGGGATTACATGATCTTGGTTCATCAACATTGATATTCAGCCTTTGGGTGACTATCTACACAATTACCCAATAATCTCAGTAATGCCGGTTTAGTGGCAATTCAAATAGAGTAGGTAGGCCTAGGTACCTTATCTAGATATGCTAGCAAGACCAAAGGATCGCGCAGACTTTGACATCACCTCATCGGTGTCTTTTGAGAAAGTGCGAAGATCAAACAATATTCCCCTAACGAAGCCAGGTTCTTGTCTTGGGAATCTGACAATGACGTCCTCATATCTAAGAAGGTTTAACAGTCTGAACGATATCGTGACAGTATGTTCGAAGGTATATGACGATAGCAGTGAAACTAAATGAGCTTTATCTCCTCCGCCTCACCCTTGAAGAGATCCATACCCCCCTTATGTGCAAACAACATAAAGACTCCAACCCTCACGTACGATCCAGGCTCTTCCGCAGGATGAATCACAAGGCCATATCTCGTACGTTTGTGCGTCGGATCAGCGCAGTATCGGCACACATCGATGTCCTCATAGCCGTTAGGAAACGATGTACCGCTAACCTCTACTTCCCTTTGCATCCATTCGTCAAGGTCTTCCTTAATGCAGTTCTCAAAGAACTTTATACGCCTCCATGCCAACGTTGCCGAGCAGCAGCTCGACACCCAAAACAATCGCATACTCTCTGGCGCTCGTATCAAGGTTTCGCCGATATCATAGTCGAGCATGCAAATCCCTGTACCGCCTGAAAATTTCCCGCACAATGAAGGAGAATGAATGTGTTCCACGGCCTCCATCCTGACGTTTGAAGGAAACGGGCATGTCCTACCCATGAATCGAAGAAAACCCCCAGTAAGAGGCCCAAAGATGTTGCTGCCTTGGAAATCCATGTGGTAATCTATCAGTGCAAAGTCCGGTCTGTTGTGACAAGGCATCTCCCCGGAGGGTTTGATAACGCGTATCCCCAACTTCCCTTTCGTCGCCTTTGGATCACCTACACCGGGTGATTCGAATTTTTTATTCGCTAAGTTCTCCTGGTACGTGGTTCGGGAAGCCCAGCTCCATGATGGTGCGATGTACGGTTCTGCGTGCTGCAAGCTATGCACAAGTGATGCCAATTCGACGGGTGGTGGTTCCGGCATGTACCAAAGCAGCTGGTAACTTAAGTCGTCTTTCCACAGGCCTGCCAAATATGTGTCGCTCGTAAGTGTTGCGAATACCTGAGCGATACCGGCAATTCCGGGGAACATGTCCTCGCGATATGTCCAGGCTCTTTCCTGGACCTCGTGAACAGCACCCCAGCTGCTGTAAACATCTGCCCTGGTATTCGCTGAGCGATCCAGCTCCTCGTAAGGTTTTCCAAGAGCTTTTCGAATCATAATTTGTAGTTGACCATGGATCTTATTGCGGTCGATGTGTCCGTTTTCAGATCCTGTTAGGTTTTCGCAGACAAAATGGCCCATGTTGGGCCCAAACAGGATCATGCGGGGTGAAAGAATACTCTCTTGAAAGGTCCAGCCCCTTCGATCCCAAGCGGATCGCTCAAGATCCTTATAAACTACTGGTGTTTTGCTCTCCTCCAATATGTCTGCGTCCATGTTTGTCGATGAAAGAATAAGTCTGTAGGTACCTCTGATATGTTCATGGCGCGATGATTGAAATTCAACTTCAAGACCCTGCGGTCGTGGTCCGAGATAGCCTTCAAGACAAGACTGTGAAGAGAGAGGGCAGATAGTCACATAACAAGAATGGTAGATCTGTCCCACCATTTGACTCTCTCGGTCCCAGTCTACATTGTCTTCTTGAATGATACACAAAGCGTCAACCCAGAGGTAGAATATACCGAGCGCCCTGCAGACCTTGATGGTGTCCCGTATGACGGGACTTAAGGAGTCAAGAGGCATCCCTTGACAATGGGTCAAAATGGTGTCTTTTGTGGTTTTTGTCTGCTTGAGAGCGTCTTCTTTGGATCCCCAGCAATAGCTCAGTGTCGCATAGTCGAGAGCATCGATCATACCAGATTCGAGCATGTTTTCAACGATGACAAGTCGAGGTGCGTCATCCTCGTTCTGACCGACATGTATCAGTCTGGTGGGTAAGAATGGCACCTCTGGCTTTCCAAGGCCACAGTGATAGTCGCATTGTCGGAGCTGTGTTTGGAGCCATTCAACACTGGCCGGGTCCAATGTGTCCGGGGGCGGGCTTCGCATGCACCCTCAGCCATCGGAGCAAATCACCTTTCACGTGGAGTTCAGAGTCCAGTCAAAGCAAAAATTATTGAAGAACTTACGGTCGCTAGACTCGATGCCAAAATAAAGATTTGCAATTCGATGTAGCTTGTCAAGATTGTTGGTCGTTCTTTTGACCGCGTAGACATCGCATCTCCAGAAGGCCAGGCCAGGATCTGTGTCGATGATCTCGAGCTCATATCCCTGTCCGCCAAACAGATATCCCGCACCGATACGAATGTCGCCAACGTGGCATATTTTCTGTCGTATGAGCTCTTCCCGAAGGAAACCACACATACGGCACCCGTCAGCAGCGGATTCAGCCATCAGGGGCAAGTCGGGTAGTGTGTCGTTCCAATAAAAAGTGGGTCTCAAGAATATTGTATCGCTCTGCGCTTCCGAATGCCGCAGGGTAGGCTCATCGTCACTGTTCGTGCCCTCGTAGAACTTGTCGTCGCTGTCGTCAAAAACAACAGCATCATAGCACATGTCACAAAGGCCATCGTTTATCGAGGAGTAAGATCCTTCAGACTCTTCGGAATCCATGTCAAGCTACCTATGTGGATTTGCCTATGTGGATTTGGATTGGTCCAGTTCCTGGTTTAACCATCAGTTCGTTTCCTCAGAAAATCAAATCGGCAGTGAACTCACGAAAAATATGCTTGCAATCAGGCTGGAAGGTGGATGCTGATGGAGAGTGTAGCTCGTTGAATGATTTCGGGCGAAGGGGTGGGAGGTGCTTATGTACCTATCCTTGAGGAGCCCTCGTGGTTCCAACTGCAGGCAGGCTGAGTGGTGATAGGCCGCCTGCTGAATGTATGAAGAAGTACGTACTCGGATGTTACTGCCTCATTGTGCAAGATGGGTTGGCTGTTCGATAAGCTGTTGGAAAGAGCCAGCATAAATCTGGAAGAAATAAGGCAATAGGCATCCTTGAGAAAAAGACATTGCGATTCATCACTACGAAAACCCAACCGTCATAATCCATAATCATCGTCAACCCCTCTGACCCTTCCCTAAACTAACGTGAAATTCCCACTCGTCCCCTCGAAAGCCGAGATACTCCCAATCAATGGCTTTGAATCACCATAATACTTAATCCGATACGTCCCCGGCCCAGCCCCATCACTGGTTCCAGTCTCCCAACTAATCACAACCTCGCTATACCCGAGCAAGAAATTCGTTCTTGTCCAAGTGTACACAAGGAACCAATCCGCGTCGGTCCTGATCTGCACCCATTTTCCGCTCTGTAGCTGCTCGACCGCGGCGTACGTCCCCTCAAGCCTGAGGTTATTCCGCGGGTTCGCTGCTTGAAACGTGGCGTTGACTACCGCGCCGCGAGTATACGACGCCGATGGCTGCCCGATGGCCTGTCCGAAGGAGCGGCCTGCTGGCGCACCATCTACGACAACGCCAGTAATGAAGGAGAGGGAGTTGGCTCGGTTGTCTGGAGGCGAAGGGCCTGCTGCGGGTGTGGATGTGGAAGAGGGGGAGAGGTAGGCGATGTTGGAGACGGTGAGGTTGATGTAAGCCGGAAGAGTATTGGGTCCGAACAGGGTGGATGCGCCCTCATAGCGTTGGATGGCGTACTCTTCGGGGGTCGCGATGTAGTGCTGGAAACTGTCAGTGACTATCAAGAGAAAGAAGCTCGCAAAACTTACGGCATAGGTATTGGCGGGACCACCGAGGACGACAACAGGATCATTAGGAAGAATACTCTTCGCAGCCTCCTTGACGGCAGCCTTCCATCTCCGCCCACTCATTGTCGTAGCTTCACCAGGCGCAACGACGATGACCAGCTGTCCAACACGCAGCATCTGAATGTCTACAATATTGGGGCTCCAAGCATACGGGGTGCTCATTTCACCAACGTCCAGTAGCACAGGTTTTGGCTGTTGGCAAGCAGCTTGCTCAGCACTGGGTGTCCTGAGAAGACCGGAGACGACTGCCCAGAGAGGGTTGGCATCGGGGGTGCCAGAGTCGGCCTGGGTGAAGTCGAAGGCGCCGGGTCCGTCCGAAGTTCCCGCAGCGAAGGAGTAGCCGAGCGCAGCAGGGCAGGTTTGGCCGATGGTGCCGTCTGCGAGGGGAAATTTGAAGTAGGACATGTCTTGGAAGAAGTGGAAGGACTTGACGCTGGTGCCAGTGACAGGAGTGGAAGTCGTAGCAAGAGCATTCTAACAAGGAGCATTAGCCATGTTGGATCCCGCATCAGGCTGATCACTTACATAGACAGACTTGGCACCGGCGTATTGACGACGTCCAATCTCGTAGCAGCTCGAGATACCCAGATCCAACTTTTGGAACGCGGGGCCTCTACCATGGCACGACTGGCTCTTGCCGTCGGCACAGGTGCTGTTCTCCAGACTACACTGCTGGCCGGAACCGTCATCGCAGTAGGCGCCGAGTACATTGGGCGTGGTATCACCCACATTCGCCTGGCTGAAGCCGGCTACGAAGCCTGGTGCGGCGCTCGCGTCACTCGCGAGGTCCTTCTCGAGAAGATACGCCGCGACACCCTTGTTGTCGCCCGCTACGTGCGTGCTATTCTGCAAGATCGACGTGCCGTGGGTTGGGTACCAGGTGAGGACGCCCATGTTCTTGCCATCAGAGGCGCGCTGGAAGCGGAGGAGGGTCAGGGTTGTGTCGGTGGTAGCGCTGTACTTGGCCCTCTCTGCCGCGGGGTTGTTGAGGTAGGCATATAAGCTGCGGTTGATGGCGCCGTCAGTGACTTCGGTGGTTCCGACGTCGAGGTATCCCTAGGAGTGTTAGTCAATTGGCAAGTCTCTCGAAGATGACCACCATACCTCTTGTAGAGACTCGTGCGCCCTCTTGATGGAGAGAACTGCACCGTCAACAATAGCCTGATAGCTCTGCTTGTCGAAACCCAAGCTAGTGACCTGCGGCAGGAGGTAGTTGAACCAAGCTCCTGGGCCAGCGTGGCTATGAGTACCGGTCACGGCAACGTTGTTCTTGTTATACACGGAGTATCCCGAACCAAGAGCTGCAACACCCTCGAGGATGCCCTTGCGAACGGCCGTGTCACCACTCTGAGTATCTAGCACAAGATAGACGAAGCGATCGCTCGGCTTGCTCACATCCCCGACAATGAAAGCACGGCTGTAGATCCGCTGTCTCAAGCCGGTTCCAACCTGGCTCAGATCAGCGTACCCTGCAAAGCCAATCTCGACGACAGGGCCGGTGATGTCAGCCTTGCCAACACCAAGGAGGTACTTGTCGCCCGCCGCGGCACGCGTCTTGGGTTTGGCATGCCACTCTCCTTCGGCATTGCGTTCAAACTTGAGGGTGGCACCTTGTCGAGTGCCTAGCTGGGAGAGACTGATGGTGACGAGCAGCACGAACGAAATCAAGGCAAAGACGGCGAAGAACGAGCGTCTGGGCATCTCAAGGCCAGCACGAGAGTGACGAGGCATCATGGGCAATCAGTCTATGAACTCAAGCTTCCAAGCTCGAGAACTGCGGGCAAACATGGCGTGTCACCCGCTCTTTTATGGCCTGCCTCGACGAGCTCATGGCTCATGGACATCGTCTTCCCCTCCATGTTCTTTGGAGCTCCTGTGAGCTAGCCGAGCTTCTGACTAACAAACAGGACGGGTACCTGGCCATCATAATGCCGGTCCTACGGGAAGGGGAAAGTATGCCGATAGTTCGGACGCGATGATTTGCCCGTGTCTCCTGAAGGGCTGCGCAACGTTGATTAGCTGGCAGGTGGTATTCCCAAGTGAGGAGGCCAGGGGGGCATCGACACTCGATTCTCGATGGAAAATCAGGGCAGAGCAGCGAGCTAGAGAGACCGGAGAGGGCAAGAGAAGGCCCGAGGGGGCCAGTGAAGGAAGCGAGGCACGCGAGGTAGCAAGCGGTCAACTCTCGCGTCTCTGAGAAAAGTGACGAGCCAGTCTGAGAGATGAGCATTCGCCCTTGCCAGATGCAATCTTGCGTCACATGGCGCCCGGTGATGTCGGTATCTGATTGGATTTGGAGATTGTGGTGTGGTTGCCATCAGGATGCGGGGAGTTGCAATTTGGGGTCAGTTGCTATCGCCATTGGGCAGGCCAGTGCTAGCTTTTTGGAGTTCTGGAGGGCGATGACCGCGAGGGAGGGCGTATTCCCCTCGGCAGGATGGGCTCCGATTTGATGCTCAGAGGGAGGATGAGAAGCGCGAGCTAGGTTGTCGGGGGTGTTCGCAGATGCTTCGCTCGAACAAGCGCCCAGCTCGTGGCAAACAACAGGACTAAGCACCCGCCTCCAAGACATTTCCCCAGCTTTGTTTGGCACTTGTCAGTGCTTTGGGCTTGGTTGTTGAATTCAGCCTCAGGGTATGCTGAAATTGGGATGATAAGGCAGCCTTGATATCGAGATGAATCAGAAGCGAGGGATGACTTGGCAGTCCAATATTGCTGCTAACCGCGTCATGATATTGTAGATAGACTGATAGACATGGGAGTCAGATATTCATTTGCTATGCGTATTCTTCAAGGGACTGATAACAACTCACATGTCGGGCGGCACTCGAGACCCGTTCCAGCAGGCCATTGCTGTAACCTCCCTCGATAACCTGGCAAAAGGCCCTGTCGCCGTTCCCATTCAGGCGATCATGTGCCGGGCGGGACAAAGAAAGGACGGACGGACGTTGGGTTTGACGGTTCGGATCCGATAAGTCTAGCGACCGTTGCTGCTAGCAGTCTCTAGTGTGTCTAGTGCAGGTCGAAATGTGTGACTGCCCATCTCCCCTCCCTTAGACATCCGTCCCTTGTTGAAAGCGTGAGGTGGGTGGTGGGTGCCAAGGTCCATCCTGTGCAGTGTGCAGTGTGTTGTTGTCGTGTTTAACGTGCCGGTATCTTTGGCCGGGTTGGGGGGGGGTCCCGGTCTCATGCACCTTTGAAAGGTGGAGACGTACCTAAAGTACCCACGATCACCTGAAGCCCAGGGCCCTTGCCGTGTGCCCAAGGGAGCAAAAAGCGGATTCATTCCCTCGACTGCCGCACCGAGAGACGCCGATAAACTTGCAGCACTTCCATGTACTCGGCCTTCCGAATTACCTTGCTCCAAGGTGTGCGAATGCAGAGAGAGTACTTACTCCATACTGATTCTCCATCCAATTCGGCCCATCTCATCCCTTACCATATGATGCATCTCTCTTCGAGTCCTTGCCCTCACCCCAGCGTCTCCTCTTAAACACTGCCCAGTCCCATCCATAGTCTTTCCATATGGTCCTGAAAAACACCATCAACGTCAGTGTCGTCTTCAAAACACCAGACATCGTATGCTTTCCTTTCAACTTCTCATTTAACCGTCTGGTTATCTCGATGCTCGATGACTTAAGCAGAGCGTAGTAACAACACGTCCTATTGAAAGAGGAAAGTCGCCTGTGCCCTCCATGACGGAGTGACATACCCCTCGTTGCAACCCTCACGGAGACAGCTGACTGGAATGGGGCAAAGCTCCAGGATGTCCTCCATCCCCCCGCTGCAGCTCACCGTCGCCCACGAACAAACTCCAGATAACATATCAGTATTGTATGCAACGAAAAATCGTCGATATTGATTCTACATAATGGCAGGCCCCTTAGCCCGCATATTATAGAGAAAGAGAAAGTTTTCCATCGCAACTTTTTGAGCCGACTTGTATATATCCCCAAACCACACCGTCCGTCTCCTTGTTCTGTCCCATTCCGTGACAGTCCGCGCGAGAGTTCAATCTCAGTCAGATGCGACGTCCCGTCTCTGCTCATGCAAAATCCGCTGGTTCCATCCTTTTCCAGCCGTAAGTCTCGTTGCTTCCCTTGCAAAGTAACGCCAGTCCAAGACATACGTCCTCCCCAATAGTGACGCCGAGCCCTTTGCCCTATCCATAGAAAGTACAACAATATAAAGGAAATAAGATGCATCTACTAAGTATGTAAATAAGGGGAGATACCGCCTCTGAATATACCACAACACATACACCTCCCTCAGCACCCATCTTCTTCACACTCGCTCATACTACCGTAGCCCGTGTCGGTCTCCATACCGACAACACTTTTAGTGATGCTGAGGCAGCGGTCCACCATTTTGTGACGGACGTCCTGCTCGAGACCACACTTTTCGCCAGGAGCGCTGCCGATCCAGATACGGAGACTGCCGGCGACGCGCTCAAGAGACGTGCTGAAGTTGTCAGAAGACGACTGTTGTGCGTATAGTTCTTCCATAAGCTTGAAGAGAGCGGTGCATCCAAGGAGAGACATGTTGGCGGTAGCGCTGGGGCGGGCGATCTTCTCGATAATTCCGAATCCCTTTTGTGATGGGGTGGCGGCCAGCTTGGCACGTTGAAGGTGGGCAATAGCCATAGCACAGTCGAGCGCCATCTGGACATCGGGCGATTGGGCGGTAGACGAAGAGTCGATGATGGCGGCAATCTTGCTGAGGGACTTTTGTTCGCTGGTCGGCTTGATGTTCTGGAGAGCGGCGGCAATATTGGCTCCTCGCTTCTCGTCAACAAGCACGGCGCGGGCCACAAGAGCGCGTGCCTGCACACCGGAGCCGATAGGAGATGTCTTGAGGGCGGTGGTCAAGCAGGTTGACACTACCCTCGGGGCATCACCATCATCCTTGCTTGCCTCGAGACTGGTGATCAAGGCACGCTGAATGGTCTGGCTCGACCACCAGGCAGCAACAGCATCCAGTGGGGATCGTACAGCCTGGTCGTCAACAACGGTGTCCATTCCGTCGTTGTGCTCGGTAACTCCCTCGGTAGTCGACAAGTTCCACGCCAGGTTGTAGGCTCGCTGGACAACGCTGTTGTTGAGCACGTCGTCGCATTCTTGCTCGATGAGGGCAGCCAGGTGCTCGGGGAGATCATCATCGACCTGCTCAGAGTTACGGCGCAGCTGCGAAAGAACACGGTTCTGGTTTCTCGCCTCGTTCCAGAGGGAGCGGGCGACCTTCTTGGCAACGATATTGTGAAGTCCCTTGGCACCAAGATCCCAAAGAAGGACACGGACGTGAAGGGCCTTGAGCATCAGTCGGGAAGGGGTATCGGGAAGAGTGCCTGATGCCAGGAGGGTAAGGGTTAGTCGGCTCTTGTTGATCTCAACATCGCCTCCTGCAAGCTGGGCATCCAACGCAATTGACCAAGCCTTGACACGAGCAGCCTCCTGCTCTTCAGTGAGACCGGTGAGCATTTGGTAGCCGTGGACACCGATAGCGTTGCGCATGCTCAACTTCATCGTCTTCATGATTAGAGCGGCAGCTTCGAGGAAGAAGTTGTGCTGAGGAACCCAGACGGTCTGAATTGCAGTCAACCAAGCTTGGCGACGGACGTGAATTGGGGATGCAACGGAACCAGCGGCCTGAAGCGACTCCCGAAGACGTTGCGCCTTCTTTGGCTTCCCCTCAGATGGAACGAAGAGCGAGGGCACAAAGACCCACAAGCAAGTGCCAAGGAAAAACAAAAGTTTCAGATGCGAGATGATCTGGGCAGGAGAGATGTAGTAGCCGCCAATGTGCATGTGAGAAGTCGATCCGAGATAGCTGAGCAGCTGGATGGGCAGGGCGAAGAGACCGCGGCCTTCGGGCGTGTCGTTGCTCTGCTCGTTCTCTCGCACAGCCTCGACAATCATAAGGCCGGCCAGCGAGCCGACCATCAGCTTGCCGAAGTACTGACTGCTGTTGCCCCATCGTCCTTGTTGCTGCATCTGTTGCTGCTGCTGCTGTTGCTGGATCTGTTGTTGTCGCATGACGTTGGGGTTTCCGCGGTAGTTTTGCTGTGGCATGGGGTAAGGTTGGCCGGCCGCCATTTGAGCAGAAATGATACGCTTCATGTCGTCAGGCACAGGAATCATGCCCTGTGCAGACTCGCCACGCGGCGTTCCGATAGGGGTGCTCATGTACTGATCCTGGGGGTACTGCATAGGAGTCGGCGGTTGCTGGAGAGGGCTCATGGCACCATTCATCGCGCCAGCCATGAAAAGCTTCTCGAAGGCGGCGATTCTGTTCTGCATGGCATGGTTTTCGTCGCAGAGACGGTTATTCCTCTTCTCCAAATGGCGAATGTACTCGGTGGCCTTGCTCAAAACCTGCGATTGTCAGTTACTTGTCTTGTCAGAACGCTTCATCCTGACGACTTACTGTAGCCTTGTTGAGCTTGTGGGCTGGCGTCAAGCCGTGAAGTTCCTCGCGATCTTCGGTGGTGTCTTCTCCCCTGGCACTCTTGGACATGATCCTCAGACTAGGAACGCTATCTCGAAGCGCGGCAATCTTGTCGTTGAGATTGGTGCGATACCTCTTCTCAATCATGTTATGGGCCGTCTTCTTGATAGGCTGGCCGTCCTCATCCTCCTCCTCATCGTCGTCGACATCAGCCGAAGACTTGCGCTTCCTGCTGGCCTTGCTGGAGTCGTGGGCATCGGGAGACGACAGTCCTGCTGCCTTGTGATCGCTGGTGGCGGATCCGGGGCTCGGCTCGCTCTTGGGAGATTGATACTGCAGATGGGCGGGCATGGCGATATTTCTGAGCTTTTCCTGTTGGGCGGGAGTCAGGGTACTCAGGGTCTCTTGCGGGAGGGTGTGTGGTTGGCCTCCTCGATGGGATTGCTGGTTGTTGGGGGCGGGAGGGGGAGCGGCATAGAAGCCAGCCTGGGCGAGAGTTGAGTGATCAAGACCGGAGGTGACGGCGGGAGGGCCGTGTTGATGGTGTTGGTTATTCGGAGAGAAATCCCACGGAGCGGCAGTCTGGAAGAGAGGAGTGGCGCCAGCGGCGGTGGTGACGGCAGCGATGTTGTAGGTGTCGTACGGGGGTGTGTCTTGAAAGGACCAATTGTTTGCGTCGTAGTAGACCTGATTGTCGTTGGCGATGCTGGATCCAGTTCGGTCAGATTTGACGTTCTGGCCGTCCGAGTCGTCGAGGAACGACGGGGGCACGCCGAGGTTCGAGTCGTCGAGGCCAAATAAGGCGTTGGGATCCTGGTCCGCCATGTTGCAGAGCGGTCAAAATATGCACTTATGGGCTGATGCTCAATTCATCGAAGTCGGGACGGGCCTGGGATTCTTTGGGTGCGCTCGGCGCTGGGAATGGGGGCCAGGTCCCGGAATCTAGAGCGGGACTCGATGTGAGTGGCCGGCGAGCAGCGACGGGAGCGGTGGACGAGGCCGCAGGGGCCAGAGATTGGTCGTGTCTTTTGGGTGAGGGAGTGAGGTATCGGGAATGCGAGAGCAATTGACGGCAATCAGCGGCGTGGTGCTGAGCGGGAAGAATGTCTGGTCGTACGACTGTCGGCAGAAGGCGATGGACAGATGGGGATGGAGGAGTGGTGTCAGCCGGGAGGCAGAACGGAGAGACCCAGAGGGAAAACAAGCGAGAGGGTCGAAGTCGTATGACGCTGGTCTGGTTTTGCGGCGCCTTATTTTTCCTCTCACGGATGCGACGCAGCGAATTGACGGGACTTGCTGGGGGTGGGCCACTGCTCTCAGGGCCAGACTGCAGGTCGAGCGTCGAGGGAGGGACGAGAAAGAGGGGCGGGGATGTCAAGTTGTGTGTGTCGGGGGACTCTGTGGTTGCTTGATGTTCCTTTCCGATGCATGCACATTCAACGTGCAGTGCAGAGAGATTATTCTGGAGTCGTACTTTTTCTTGGTCTGTACGGATATCCTGACGAAGAATTCGAGATGCTCAATTGCGGTTTGGCAGTGCCAGTCAATGGGTGGAGGGCAGGCAATCGGGAATCGAAATCGAAATCGAAATCGGGTGGGAGGGTCGAAGGAGAGCGAAAGAGGGAAGCAGAGAAGGGGAGAGGGAAGGGAACGGGGGAGCATCGTACGATTATCTAGAAACTACGCCTGATATGAGCCCAGAGACCGCAGGAGCCCAGACCACCACCCGTCCCTGCCCGTCCTTGCCAATGATCCATCTCGTCAGGTACGTATTCGCACCAAGTACTCCGTACCTTGGTGCTTTCCTCAGTTCCTACAGGCTGCCACCAATCAGCCGTGGATCGTACCTACCCTTAGACTCGACGCAGGAAGGACCAGTCCTAGGCACCTTCTACGACCCGTAGCTCGCCCGCTGTCCGTACCAACTCCTTCCCACATTTGGTTTGACCACCATCAAATATACCTACGTATGTACTGCCACCGCCGACTCGTCCCTGCTTCGCTGCCCTACAGACCCGGGATGCTGCTGCCAACAACTTCCTTCCTGCCAGGTCTGCACCATCTGCTTCATGAGTTGTTAAGGAAAAGTCCCCCCAACTCTCGATACTGACGGCTGCCGGCAATGATCCCGCCGGCTGGCAATTCGGGGAAGGTCCACTCGCACTTTGACAGCAGGTACGTATCCTCACACCTTGTTTAATATGAGACGATACCTTCCTCCCGTCTGCCCGCTCGCCCGCCTGCCCTGACTCCCCTTCAGGTACCGACCTTACCTCGGGCATCACTCAATACCTAGGTGCTCATCCAAGCGTGCCAGGCCAGGCCAGGCCAGGGAAGACAGATGAGCAAAGAACTCACACTCGCAAGTCTCACAGTCTCAATCGCAACGATGTGGGACGCCAAAAGTCTGGCAAAGGGCAGTTCTGAGTCTTGGATCAGCGCTGGGAGGTGCCGGATGGGCCTGGTCATGGAGCCCCGGGGGACCAGGAACACCGCGCCGGCCGCCCTCTCTGACTCTCACAGTGGCAAGCGTCTTTCACCCTCCTCTCACACACAATCTCACTTGCTCACTTGCTCACTCACCATAGGTACGCTTCGCTCATCTTCCAGGCTTCCCCACTCCAGAAACGCCACTTACCGCCAAGCAACACTGCGCCGTGGCACGCGTAGAAACTGGCAAAAAGGCATGACGGGCAACTCAAGAGTGAGAGAAGTGTGTGAGAGTTCACCCTTCGGATGAGAGGGGGCCACCCGCGAGCCGGGAACGCCTTGATAGCCCAACGCTTCCACATGCTGTCTATGGTTACGGACCGAAACTATCGCTTGATACCGAATCTTGAACTCCTATAGAATTCCAATGCGGACCGCGAGTAGGTAGATACTGCAAGCGCTGCTCACAAATCCGTCCCGTTTCCATGTAAAAGTCCCATTGCTCATCGCTTCTTGCCTGAATCCGTACTCGTAGGGATCTCAAGTTGCTCAGCTCCTCCTCGTCACAAACACCAGCCAGCCAGGATCACCGCTCATACTCCAGCTCAGCTCGATGGGTGTCCCATGATGACGACGGGCATTTTTCTGCCCTAGCCTTTTTACGTCTCCACACTTTTCATTTGCGATGCCCCCGTTTCTCTTCAGTTGCTATTGATCTTTAAAGTATCCGTACCTCGACCCTCGATGAGCCAAGACTCACCGGCGCTCGCCGTAGCGCTGGGTCGTCGGATCACAAAAACCTGCAAGACACCTGAAGAAAGAAACGGAAAAGAAGACTTCGCCCCTCAGCGGCCCTCACTAGATTGAGACTCGAGAGAGACATCAGCCGTAAGCTAGTAGAGGTCGCTAGTTCCAATATCTCCGGTGCTGAAAGGCTGAAAGCAGCTGTGGCTTTTCCACTATCAATCACCTTGCTCACCGGTGGCGCCTCGGTTTGTGTCTCTCCTCGCTTTTCTCCTCCTCTTGCGCTCTTTCAACTTTCCAGCTGTGTTTCTCGTGTCCGGATATGCCTCTTATCTCCCCCTCGCAAGCGCGCGCGCTCGTCACGGTCGTTTTGGTGCTTCATGCTTCTTTTCCAGACCAGGGCCGTGTCCTCGACTCGTGGACCGTGAGGTGTCTTCGCCCGTCTCTACCAATGTGCGTGTGTGCCTGTCTCTGCTGCTCACGCTCAGTGCCCACACTCAGTCCCCTACCCCGTCCATCACACACACAACACACCTTGCACACCTCGTCCTTCTGATTCTCATCCAGCGCCTCAGCGAGTGTCTCACAATGGAGCATGGCTGCGACTCGCCCTGCTTGAGCCTGCCACAACATCACCAAGAATGCAGAAAGGCCAAGCATCCCACCCAGGCACCCCGCAAACACGCTTGACGGGTGCTTGAACTTGGCCTCTAACCATCCCTCCGGCCCGTTGGACCTCGTGCTTCAACGTCTTTAGCAACTCCCAAAGACCCAGCAAAACTGCTCAAAGTCTGAACAGTATCTGTCCCCTTCACTGGTGACGTTGGCAGCCATCAGTTAGCTTTTAGTGTGCCTACCATCTGCCTGCCGATCAACGGACGCTCTTTGGCTCCCTCATCGCTCACTGTGACTGAACCAATCGAAGACTACTTATTACCCCTCCCTCATCCGAGACACTAGAGACAATCCCTCAACCCTCCGTCTGGACCATCTGAAACGCCTATTCGTCCTTGACACGCATGGCACGAACCCTGAATTGCATACTGCAGCATTGCAGAATGCGAGCGAAGAAGGAGGGCAGAAAATAAAAACTTAATCATTAAATACCTGGGTGCTATCCGTGGATCGTCTCGACCCAGAGAGGAGGGCATGACAGATCGTCTTCCCTCTGTCCTGCGCGTACTGACTCTTGTCATAAACTCTGATCATTAAAACGGAACCCCTCATCTTTCCCTTTCTTGCTATGTAAAATGGTATTTTGCGTATGTGCGATAGAAATCCGATGGAAGAAAACTAAGATCCAATTAGGAGACAACGCCAAGAAACGTCTCTCTCTTCCTCATCCTCTCTTCTCTCTCTGATTCCCCTCTCCTTCATCCCATTTCCAAAAAGGGGAAAAGAACATTTCATCATGACATTACCCTACGGTCGCCCGCCAGGCCCTGCTTTGCATTGTCCACAGTCTATATGGGTATTTTGCCCCCTGTCCGTACTCTCCTTTTCTAACTTCCCGGAAACCTGCCCGACAACCCTCTGTTTACCAGATGTCATCATCACTCCTGACCATCTCCAACGTTGGTGTCTTAGGCTCCAGCTTCTTCATCCTCTTCCGGTCAGCCTTGGTGATGAGGGACGGCGTCATGGGCACGCAGGGCGTGAAAGGCTGGTAAGGCGAGTACGGCACCGCCATGCCAGTAGCCGGCGTACGTGCTCCCGACGGCGACAAAGGTCCCGTGCGCGTGAACACGGTCTGTTTGGTGGTCTGCGAAGCCAGCGACGGTGAGCTCAGAGCAGGCTCGTACGCGCGCAGAGGCAGGGATCCGCCAGTGCGGACTGCCGAAGGGGCCTTGGACCGGAACCCGGCTCCTGGCAGGGGCGAGGCGGGGAGCTGGAACGAGGATCCCGGCTTCGGAGACGAGGGTAGGGTGGAGCTGAATCGGGCGCCCGGCTTCGGGGATTGCGGGAGCCCGATGAGCGGCGCGGTCGATCGCTCCGAGACGGCGGAGTTGGGGTCCATTTCGGAGGGCGCCGCAGACGGCTTGCGGACATGACCGATGGGGATCTGGCCGCCGATCCGCTCGTCGATGCTCTGGGTGCTCTCCGGGGAGTGGTCAGGGCTGACGGGTGATACCTGACCGTTGTGCTGGTGCACTCCGTACGGCATCTGCATCTGGCTCATGGGCACCGGGGGAGGCGGGGGCGGTGCGTACTGCCGCGGCGGTATGGCGTTCATCTCTTGCGCCTCCTGTCTCGGGAAAGTTCCCGTCATGGGTGTCATGATGGGTGACGAAATGCTGATACCCCGAACGTTCTTGTCCTTCTTAGGAGAACGCAGCGCCGAGAAGATGGATGAAGCTCTCGACTGCTTCTTCTCTGGCTTCTCCTCTGCCAGGTTCAGGTTGCCTGGCTTGTGCTTTTCCTTCCTCAGGGACGACTTGCTAAAGCTGGCATTCGTCGGCGTTGGTAGCTGAGGGTTGGCCGAAAGTACCGGTGACCCTTCCAGCTTGATGCCCTGAAGTTTGGCCTCCTCCTGCTCCATCACGTACTTGTACATCTCCTCAAGTTGCGTTTGCGCCATTTTCTTATCTTTGGCGACGATTCTCTGGTCCACGGTAAAGTCTATTCCAGGCGCCTGAAGCGTCGACGTTGGTGTTGGGTTGACGTAAGGGGTCTGGGGAGTTGGATATTCCGGCGTCTGGTATTCCTCGGCACCGGGATACGAAAAGTTGCGGACGGGGCTCCGGGGAATGCTCCTGGGCGAACTCGGTACCTCAAGGGTGAGTTTCGGGGGTGACTTTGGATCGTCGAGTGGCTCTTCAAGTCCACCCTCAAAGTTCACCTCGTCGTCACCGGCAGTGAGGGCCTCACGACGTCTTTTCGATAATGCGAGCAACAAACCGGCGACCAGCACCAATGATACTCCGTAGGAACCGACGATGGCGCCGATCTGGTAAGGGAGATATGCAGGGTCTCTGAGAGCGTTTGCAGATGCAGGCGGTCCGTCCTCTGGTGATGGTGCGGGATCCCAATCAATGTTCAACGGGTTGTTATTGCTGCGAGTCTCCAGGACAGACGGTGACGGGGCTGCAAGTGTGATGTGGCTGCTGCAAAAGAAGAGGTAATAAAGAACGAAGGTCAAGAAGTGAAGTCGAGGACACGAGTTAAGAAGGGCTTGGACGGGTTTCATGGTGAGGTGGTGAGGACACCGCAACTCTTTTTAAAAGTCAAATCCAGCTTTGATGATCTTACCTCCTGGAGGAGGGTCCGAAACACATTGTGATGGAGAAGTTACATGGAAAGGCACGGATATGCGGCGTACAAAGGGTATATAGCGGCTGGTGAAGTTCGGCAGTGCGTCGAGATTGGCGCTGACCGTGTGCTCTGGACTCTGACTTGCTGAACACCCAGGCACGACGCCTGCGAAGCGGTCGCACTCGCATGATGGCGACGATAAAATAGCGCCCAAAATGGCTCGTGGCTATTAATGTCGTCTGCAGAGGAGGCGGGAGCATCAAGGGCTTCCCGAGATGTGGTTGGACGGATCGACGTGATGGCAGGGGGCGTAAGCGCCGAGGATGGCTGCCGGGGGCATGATTGGATTGCTCCGTCACATCCAAGTTGATCCAACCCCGCGCTGTGCCACCCTTCATTGTCATTCAACAAGAACTCTGGCAACTCAATTCGTCCTCGCAGGGCAATAAACCATGTCCTGCCATGCCCTGCCATGGCCCCAAACTGGTTGACCACTGAGAGTCGGAATCACCGTGGTCTGTCGTGAACAGTGGTGAAAAAAGAGGAGCGGTTCCCAGGGCAGCTGTTCAGGTGGTTCCGCCTGTCGTCCTCGCTTCTCATCCTGTCTCTCACGTCTCTTCAGTCTCGACTGTCCAAGGGGACACATGCAAAGCGAATCCAGTCCCCCAAATCCAGGCCCAAGTCCCGGCAGCGGGAAGGCCATCCCTGCATTGGCCCCATCACTATCTCGTTCTGACCGCATGAGCTGCTGCAATAGGGCACAACGTTATTGCACTGGCCTTGCCCTCTGGAGCATCGCATCACAGGCGTCCTCGAATGGGATCTCTGCCCAAGTGTGACTTCACATTGCGGGCAGCATTAAAGCGTGATGATCGTAACTTCATCACCGTGATAGGACCGACGCTGTTCTTCTGCCATCGAGCGACATCGACCGATGGAACGTTGACTTTGTTTCTGCCCGTTCGTGCCGTTGAGTTGAGTTGCTCCTGTTTCTCATCCACGACGGAGGGGAAAACCTTGGGCGAGCACGGGTGAATGTCCGTTCGCTTTCGGCGGGTAGCGAACAACCCTTCGCGAGTCATCAAAGCAACAATGAAGAAAACAGACTTTGTCCGAGCGATGCTTATTCGCTTTGCCCAGTGGAGCGTTCCGTGGTGCCTTACACCCTTCCAGCCGGTCGTTGCCGGTCTGGCACGTCTGGGTGTGATGGAAACGGCGGGATGGGACTGTTGATCGAAGAAACAAGAGCCAGCTTGTCGTATCAGAGCCACGCATAATGGTTTTGGCATAGACTCTAGAGGAAGGGGGGCCGTGGTGTTCACCTCGCGGAGCTCAACCGATAAACCGTCGGCGAATGCATCCGGATCCGAGAGCAGTGTGACTGCACCGCCTATTGAAACTCGTCGATGATTGCCGCAATAGGGCATCTTTCGCCTGGGCGCTTGAAGAGCATCGAAGCAACGGAAGAAGCCAAACTGAATCGTCGGGTCACCCAGTGGCTGGGTGGGATTTGTGGTTCATGTCTCATTGGGTGACTTTGAATTTATGAGTTGAGTCGCAAGAACAAAGAAGCCATCAACGAGAGTTTAGCGGTCCGGTATGGGAGTGTTCCCCTGCTGCTTCAGTGCGAGCTGCAGGTGGGTCGCGGAGGTTTGCGGATCTGCGGATGCACGTGCGTGGCGAGGTATCCTTGGCAGGGGCCTTTACCCACGTGAGCGATCACCTGATGTCGTGCCGGGTACACAGGTACCGCCATGTTGACCTGGGTGCTGGTGCCACAATCAAGCAACCGCTAGACGCGTCAACTGAGCCCTGAGACGCGACCCTCTTCATCGGGAGGTGGTAATCGAGCGGAGCATTCACTGTTGGACAGCATTCTGTATACCACTATTTGCAATTCACTTCCCTTTCCTACCAATGATCGCCTTACGACAATGAACTCGTCAAGTTCGGCCCCAGGCCCAGCCGAATCCATCCTTGCGACATTGAATCCAGCACAATGTCGCGCCGTCACGTCCAAGAATGCCACCGTCGCCATCCTGGCTGGCCCTGGAAGTGGCAAGACGCACACCTTGACATCTCGTGTCGTTTGGCTTGTGGACAATGTTGGATACGCGCCCACTGACATGATTGTCGCCACTTTCACGGTCAAGTCCGCACGGGAGATGAAGGAGCGCATCTGCAAGGCCCTTGGAGATGACCGCGGGAAGAAGATTGTGCTCGGCACATTTCACAGTATTGCCCGCCGCTACCTGGCTGCCTATGGCAAGCGTATAGGGCTTGATGAAAAGTTCGCCATTGCCGACGATGGAGACTCGAGAGCCGTCATCCAGAGGATTTGCAAACGATTACAGCTATCAGTCGATCCTCCTGCTGCAAGATCATGGATCAGCAAGAAGAAGGCTAGGGGTGACAATCAGGCACCAGTAAAGCGGAACGGTAAACCAGTACCCGAGAATCGCGACCTGGAAATATGCTTTCGCGAGTACCAAAGCCATCTCGAACGGTCGAATCTGCTGGACTACGACGATTTGTTGACTAAGTGCGTGGAGTTACTTCGAAAGCACCCTTCTTGCGTTGCCAACGTCCAGTCTGTACTCATTGACGAGTACCAAGACACCAATGGCATTCAGTACGAACTCATGAGGCTGTTTGCTCAGGCACGAGAACGAATAACCATTGTGGGAGATCCGGACCAGAGCATCTACGGCTGGCGTTCCGCCGAGATCAAGAACTTGTACCGTCTGCTAAAGGACTTTCCCAAAGCGGACGAGATCTCCCTGGAGGAAAACTACCGCTCGTCCCAAGCAATCCTGGATGTCTCCCTGAAGGTTATCCAGCAAGACAAGAAGCGTTACCAAAAGGTCCTGTTACCTATCCACAACAAAGGCACACGACCGGTTCTCCGGAGACTAAAGTCTTCAGCCGTGGAAGCCGAATGGATTGTGTCTGAACTCAAGAGAGCCTTGCTGATGGCCGGCAAGATGCTGACCTACGATGATGTGGCCATTCTCCTACGGTCGGCATCGCTTTCTAGGCACGTCGAATCCTCTCTAGGAAAAGCAGGCATTGCATACAAAATGGTTGGCGGATTCAAGTTCTACGACCGCGCTGAGGTCAAGGTGATTCTTGACTACCTGCGTGTCATTCACCAGCCCGACAACAATGATGCAGTGGCCCGCATCATCAATGTTCCCCGCCGCGGCGTTGGAGACACAACTATAAAGTCCCTTCTTGAGGAAGCCGAGAGCTCCAAGCTCAGTGTTTGGGTGGTGCTAAATAAGCATTGCCGGGGAGAGCGCCAGGCAAAGACGAATATCAAGAAGGCCATGGAGCAAAAGATTAGCGCAGAGCTTCTGAGACTGATTTCTGGGATCAGAAGAAAGATTGAAGAGCCTCCAACCGGGAGTCCATACTACCACTTGGTCGACCTTATCCAGAATCTGCTTTCACAGCTCAACTTCCAGAGATACCTTCAGGAGAACTACCCCGAGGAGCATGAGACGCGATGGGCCAACGTTCAGGAATTCATCAGTCTGGCGGGCGATTTTATGCGAGACTTGAACGCCACAGCTGAGGAGGATCGTCTTCCAGTGATCGATGGAGTCCAGCAGGTGCAAGAAAATGACGCCTTGGGCCGTTTCTTGGCAAACGTCTCCTTAGCGTCGGATGCGCAGCAAAAGGGAGATGCGGAGAACAAGCCGACTGTGACCATCTCGACTATTCACGCAGCTAAGGGTCTTGAATGGCCCATCGTCTTTGTACCAGCAGTGTACAATGGATCCATTCCACACTCGAGGTCAGAGGATCTCGACGAGGAACGTCGGCTACTTTATGTGGCCATGACACGTGCGCAGACACTCCTCTACCTCAGTTGCCCAATGTACAGCTCGCAGAATGGAGGAAACGGTGGCGAGCGTACTGAGCTATCGCCTTTTATCCCATCAGAGATTCATCCGTATTTTAGGAAAACCGGTCCATCCTTTGAGCCTGGGATCCTTCAGGAGATGGGGCGCATTCTTGGAAGAGAGAAAGTTGTGCCAACACAAGACAAGGTGTACAAGGAACTGCCGCCCATGGAACGGCCCGAGGACAACTTATGGCCCGAAGATCCGGAAGACTCTTTTGGCGAAAGGGGCGCGAGTGGGAGGAACATGCCCTGGGCACAGAGACGCCCTCGGGCACAGGCAACTTCAGCATCAGAAGAGGGCGATTCCCAGCCGATACCCACCTGGCACACTTCTACAACAATGGACAGTGCTTCCAACTTCACTCTGCCAGGCTTTACGACTGCAAGCGCGGCACGGGAGATGCTAGCTGCTGCAAGGGAGATGGCCGCATCCGCTCAGCAAAACGACTCTGGACCTCAAAAGTCCGCCGCGCCCAGAAAGGGAACGTCGAAGCGGCCGGCTGATCAGCGGAGTCTTCTGGGTTTCGTCAAGAGGACCAAATCCGATTTATCGCATACATCCTATCCCTCAACACATCGTCCAGCAGCTCCCGAGCCACGATCGATTGCTCAAGAGCTTCCAGAGTTGCCAGACTTGCACCAAGCGCAGCGCCCTGCGAATGCCATTGAGTCGGGCCTCAGCGGTCACCGACTCGGACAGGGGAGAATGCCCGCCAAACCAGTAAGACCAGCTTTCGAGGGCACCGCGGGGCCAAAGAAACACTATACAAACTTCTCGAGCTCCCCACCTCGAGCGAAGTCTCCTGAAAAGGAGAATCAAGACATGAACGAGCCACCGCCGGTCCGGGAACGGCCGGCGAGCTGCTTACATACGACCACGACTACGAATGGCTTTGGGGGATTCAAGCGGCCGGCGGCGTTAAAGAAGGAAGGAGGCCTTGCACCGATAGACCGGCTGAGGAAGCCCTTCAAGCCGCTGACGATTAATAGATCATGAGGGTATGGTCATGGCTTCTTGCTTGGACTTTTGCGGCGTTTACTGTGGGCACGGCGTTGCTCAGGTGTTGGCTGGGCACAACTCGTAGCATGATGATAGAAGAAATCTAGATATGTACATTGAAAATTTTGGTTACATAAGTCCTTACCTCAGGTACTGGGCAAAAGTGATAGGCTTAATACAAGCCCAATAGGGAAAACCAAAGTCCCCGCGACTTAAGGACAGGACAATATTCCTCCGAGCTGACGGACACGTCTCCACTTTTCCCGGGTGCAGTCGGCTGGGGTGTGCCACCTTCACGCTTAGGCATGTCGTTTTACGATGACTCCAGCGCATCCTTCGTAAATATGGCAGACGCTCGGGTCGTAAATAACGGCGGACTGAGGATATAAACTCTTCGAGCGCAACGCGATAGATGAAGATAGCATTGGTGTTATCAGATACGCCATCATACATACATACGTAGCTCTCTTAAGAATAAACAGAGATTTGATCCTCAACTTCTTGAAATCACAAGTACCATAACAACAAGCCCAAAGTCATGTCAGCGGCTACAGTACGTATCGCAACAAGGACTCTCGTCCTCCCCGCAGGTCTTCGGGGCCGGCCGCTCCAGCGCGCAGCCTTCTCCACATCGCCCTCCTGGACTGCCGGCGGTACTGCGCAGGGCAAGAACAGCAGCAGCAGCAACAACGTCAACGGTAACAGCAACAAAATAGGAGGAGAAGATCCAATTGAGATCCCGGCATTCAATCTTCGACACATTTCTTCTAGTCCTCGGGCGCGGTTTTGGTTGATCACGGGGTTTTGTGTGATTGCGAGCGTGGAGATGTATGGATGGTATAATTTTGGGCCAAAGATTTTGGGGTGGGAGGGGCAGGGGGAGGATGAGTGATGCTGCTGCTGCTGCTGCGAGCATGACTCTTATCCTGAGGTTGTTTTATTCGTACTCAAAGAGAAGTCTGGGATCGAAAATCTCTACTACTACATAAATATTGCGATAGATGCCACAGTCTAAATTGAGCACAGCGCAACCATGTGGGCGCGACATTCTTCGGCTTTCTGAGGGTGGCTTTTGATACATTGCCTTGTTCAGATGTTCTGTCTTTTTGCATCGCAGTCGTGATACGGATGTCTTATCCTAACGTTAGTACTCATCTTCACCTATCGAGGATCATATGTTCCATCCGGACTATGTAAGTGCAGGGCAAGACTCCACCGCAGGTGACAAGAGTATTTTAGGGCGATACATCTAAAAGTATGGCACTTTATTTCAAGAGAATGTTCAACCAGAATAGGCTCACTCACGATCTAAGCGGAAGCCTGCCACGAGAAAATGCCAATGAACCCCGCCACCCACTACGGTAAGCTTGGTCAGGTCGTTAGATAAGAAGTTATACTGCCGATTGAATTTGTTAGATAGGTAGGTAATGTGAACGGTGACCTTTGCTAAGAGCTTCTTTTCGAGAAGCTTCAAGCTCATCAGGATTTGCATTGAAGATAGGCACTCAACACGCCTGCCTGGACGATTGCATGGACATGCCAGTGAGGTTTCAGTTGTTGGTAATAAAGACCTTGACATATTGCTACCACGGATACTTGGTACACATGAGTTCAGTAGATGCTTGGAAGGTCAAGGGATGTGTGTGGTAAGCTTGGAGACACAACCAGTTCTAGAACCGAAGTCCCCGGGCCGAACCTCGAGCGGGACTGAATTGAAGTATCCGGGTATCCGTAGGCTCCAAGTCCGGGGGAATCCCCGCGTGAGCCTCCGGAAAGGCAGCCGACCATGTGCCGCATTGGGCAGGTACCTGACTAAGAGATACACGTGACTGTCATCGTGACGCCATTGATTCTGCGGCGACTAACAGCGGGGTGGCTGGGAGGGAAATACCCAATAGAATGGCTGGAGGACGTCCCCAAGCTCCCCCAAGGACCCCAGCCGAGAGCGAAAGGTGGACCCACTTCTGCAGGCAGGAAGCACCAGCAGCCGGTTGGGTGGGTGCGGCGCTGCGGCGTTGCGTGGTTGAGGTATGCACCTCAGGCAGTTCCGCAGTGGCCCGTGGTGAGTGCCAGCACTGAGACACCCGCTGCCGCTGCTGTTTCTGGTGCAACTCGAGGTGGATGACGCAGACACGCCGTACAGCGTACACGCGGGCGGAAGAGTCGCAAGTGCAAGTGCGCCACACGAGCAGCAGCCCACCGCACCTACCTTACCTTACCGGAGCTCCCAGAAAGCTTGCTACCTACCTTACCCCAGAGGCAGGCGCACCCGGACGGTACCTTCAGGTAGGTATCGTGTGTCACTGCAACCACCACCCAACCTCCATCCGTCCCTCTCATTCCACACCCGACATCTGCCATCAAACCGCTCATCGTCCCTTGCTTTTTGGGTCTCTCTGCGCGACGGGCGTTTCCTTCCTCCATCTCTAATCATCGCCGCATATTTCTCAGTATTCTTCTTCTTCAGCACACTACTCTACCAGGAACCCGGTCCTAGCCGCTGAGCGGCATACACCAAGCCCACGATGACGCTATTGAAGCTGCTCGGAGCTGGCGGCCTGTTGCTGGCTTCCCTGAGCAGCACTGTTGCAGCAGAGCCCTTTACGCCAAAACATGAAGCCGGACGATGTGCCATGCGCGGCCACTGCGGCTCCAAGAGCTTCTTTGGCAAGCAGCTGCCCTGCCCTGACAATGGTCTGGCTACGGACCCCGACGAAGACCTGCGAAAGCAGATTGTCGACCTTTGTGGCGCTAAATGGAACTCTGGTCCGGTTTGCTGCGATGCTGAACAGGTACGTTATAGGCTTCAAACACTTGGCTGCTGTTCATCTTACTGATGTGTGCTGCTCAACAGGTCAAATCGCTCGCCTCCGAGCTCGGCACCCCGAACCAGATCGTTTCTTCCTGCCCGGCCTGCAAGGACAACTTCTTCAACTTGTTCTGTACCTTCACATGCTCTCCCGATCAGTCCCTATTCTTAAACATCACAAAGACCCAAGAGAAGAACAAGAAGACTATGGTCACAGAGCTGGACCAGCTCATCTCAAAGGAATATGGAACTGGATTCTTCGACAGTTGCAAGGAGGTCAAGTTCGGTCCATCCAACTCTAGGGCCATTGACTTTATCGGAGGTGGCGCAAAGAACTACTCCCAGCTGCTCAAGTTCCTGGGAGACGAGAAGGTCATTGGATCGCCCTTCCAGATCAACTTCCCCACCGAGTACACCGAGCCAGGCATGGCCCCTCGCGACATGACCCCGAAGAAGTGCAATGACGAGGACCCCAACTACCGCTGCGCTTGTGTCGATTGTCCTGCTGTCTGCCCGGAGCTCCCGGCCGTCTCGAAGCCTGGCGAATGCCATGTTGGTCTTTTACCCTGTCTCTCGTTTGCGGCCATCTTCACCTACAGCATCCTCTTGTTCGCTGCCATCGCAGCCGTTGTCGGACACGTTGTGTGGAGACGCCGTGCCAAGAGAGAGAGTGAGCGCCTCCGACTCCTGCAAGATGCGTCTCCCAGCGACGATGAGGATGAGGGTGATCTGGTCCAAAATGGGGCCATGTTCGATAGACCTCAGAGATACTACAAGATCAATACCTGGTGCGACGCGGCCTTCAGCAAGCTCGGTCACGCAGCGGCGCGCTACCAAGGAATCACGATTGGTGTCACGCTCATCGTCGTCATCATTCTCAGTGCCGGTTGGGTCAGGTTCGACCTCGAGAAAGACCCTGCGCGTCTATGGGTTAGCCCCACGTCTCCTGCTGCTCAGGAAAAGGCTTTCTTTGACGAGCAGTTTGGTCCATTTTACCGCGCCGAAAAGGCCTTTTTGGTCAACGACCAGCACTCCAGCGGCCCAGCCCCCGTTCTCAGCTACGATACGCTGATCTGGTGGATGGGTGTCGAAAAGAGCGTCAAGCAGCTGAAGGGCCCCAAGTTTGGCGCGACCCTCAATGACATCTGCTTAAAGCCTACCGGAACCTCCTGCGTTGTCCAGTCAGTGGCGACCTACTTTGGCGACGAGCCCTCCCTTGTTGGCAAGAATGACTGGGAGGATCAACTGCGGCAGTGCGCAAAGTCCCCCGTCGAGTGTCGTCCTGATTTCGGTCTTCCTCTCGAGCCGAACATGATTCTAGGCGGTTACGAGGACGATCCCGCTGCTGCTCATGCGATGACTGTCACCTGGGTCGTCCAAAATGCTGTGGAAGGTAGCCCGGCCGTTGAGCGTGCCATGGACTGGGAGGTTGCGCTTCGCGACCGCCTTCTCGAGGTTCAGCAGGAAGCTTCGGACCGAGGGCTTCGACTTTCCTTCTCTACCGAGATCAGCTTGGAACAGGAGTTGAACAAGTCAACCAACACCGATGCCAAGATCGTCGTCATCAGCTACATCATCATGTTCCTCTACGCCTCTCTTGCCCTCGGATCTACCACGCTGTCATTCCGGGATATGATCAGGAACCCAGCCGTGGCTTTGGTCCAGTCCAAGTTCTCACTCGGCGTTGTTGGCATTCTAATTGTCCTCATGTCCATTAGCGCCTCTATCGGTCTGTTCTCCTGGTTCGGGCTCAAGGCGACGCTCATCATTGCCGAGGTCATTCCCTTCATCGTTCTTGCCGTCGGTGTTGACAACATTTTCCTCATCGTTCACGAGTTTGAGCGCGTCAACGTGAGCCACCCTGACGAGATGGTCGAGGAGCGTATTGCCAAAGCCCTGGGACGAATGGGTCCGTCGATTCTTCTCTCAGCTATGACCGAAGTTGTCGCTTTTGCTCTCGGAACGTTCGTAGGTATGCCCGCGGTGCGCAATTTTGCCGCCTATGCCGCTGGTGCTGTCTTCATCAACGCCATTCTTCAGATCACGCTCTTCATTTCAGTTCTCGCCATGAACCAGATTCGCGTGGAGGACCACAGGGCAGACTGCATCCCCTGCCTGCAGGTCAAGGCAGCTCGCGTCCACCTGAGTGGCGGAAACGGCAATGCCAACGCGCGGTTCTACGAAGTCCCGGAAGAGAGCTGGCTGCAGCAGTTCATCCGTCGTACATACGCACCGGCCATTCTCGCAAAGCAGGCCAAGGCAATCATTATCGCCATCTTCTTGGGTCTGTTTGCCGCTGGAATCGCACTTATTCCCGAGGTGCAACTTGGCCTGGACCAGCGCGTTGCCATTCCCGACGGCTCCTATCTCATCCCCTACTTCAACGATCTTTACAAATACATGGAGACCGGTCCTCCTGTCTACTTTGTCACCCGAGAGTTCAACGCGACTGCGCGCAAGAACCAACGCGAGATCTGCGCAAGATTCACCACCTGCGACCAATTCTCCCTCTCCAACATCCTGGAGGGTGAGCGCAAGAGACCCGATGTCTCATACATTTCATCGCCTGCTGCCAGCTGGATCGATGACTTCTTCTTGTGGCTTAACCCTGATCTTGGCGATTCGTGCTGTGTTGAGAACGGCAAGGCATGCTTTGCTGATCGCAACCCGCCATGGAATATCACCCTGTCCGGTATGCCCCAGGACGGTGAGTTCGTTCACTACCTCGAGAAGTTCCTCAAGGCGCCTACCAATGACGACTGCCCGCTCGGTGGACAAGCATCGTATGGTAATGCGGTGGTGGTCGACTCGGAGAAGGACACCATCCCCGCCAGTCATTTCAGAACGATGCATACCCCGTTGCGCAGCCAGGATGACTTCATCAACGCCATGTCGGCAGCCCGAAGAATCGCGTCCGACATTACAAAGTCAACGGGTGTTGAGGTTTTCCCCTACAGTCTTTTCTACATCTTCTTTGACCAGTACGCCAGCATCGTCTCGCTCACAGGAGCTCTTCTCGGTTCGGCTGTGGCAATCATCTTTGTCATTGCGTCCATCCTTCTGGGATCTCTCATGACGGCGCTGGTCGTCACCGTCACAGTCTGCATGACCGTTGTCGATATTATCGGAGCAATGGCGGTCTTCGGCGTGTCACTCAACGCCGTGTCGCTCGTCAACCTGATCATCTGCGTCGGTATCGGCGTGGAGTTCTGCGCGCATATTGCGAGGGCGTTCATGTTCCCGTCGCGCACCGTCATGGAGCGCGCCAAGAACCGCTTCCGTGGCCGTGATGCCCGCGCCTGGACTGCTTTGGTCAACGTTGGAGCCTCCGTCTTCTCTGGTATCACCGTCACCAAGCTTCTCGGAGTGTTCGTGCTGGCATTTACGAGGTCAAAGATCTTTGAGATCTACTACTTCCGAGTGTGGCTGTCTCTGGTTGTTTTCGCAGGCACTCACGCTCTCATCTTCCTCCCTGTTGCTCTCAGCTTATTTGGAGGAGAGGGATACGTTGACCCCGAGAGCGAGGGCGGCATCGAGGAGGATCTTGCCAGCCGTAGATACCGGGCTCTCGTCCCGGACGAGGAGACTGATTCGGACGATGACTATTAGAATGATCATGGCTTTACCTAGGTTTTGTAATACTAGTGTTGGGAGTAAATAAAGTGGGATTTTGCATTTCATCCAAGTGTGCCTTTTTTTTGACATGATCTTTGGTAAAGTTCATGATGGATTTTTCCCAATCACGCTTGTCCGTTGTAGGACGTGTTAGTTAGGGGCATGGGCAATTCGACAGCCAATGCCGTTAGGCACCCTGGCTGTCTAGGCAAATCTGCAAGTATTACTTTGATCGTACTTTTGTTGAAGAACCGGAGGCTGGGCATCTTGAATGGCAATCCATGGGAATGCGTGTAGCTGGTGTGACTACAAGGCGAAATAGCAAGCCTGACGTGTGGACACATCGCGGTGCCACCAACGGCGATGTGCCACATCGGCGGGCGGGAAGTGGAAGTGGATTGCGGTGACATGGTTTGACAGCGCATCATGCCCATTGGGTGTGGGTTGGGCTGTAGCGCGGGGTGGTGGTACCATTATCGCTGGTGTTCGTTCATCGTTCATGATCTACGGATGGCATCTCAGCGTCTGTGGACTGAGATGCGAGACATTGGGCTTAGTTATTGCGTTGAACTTGTTGAAGCTGGAACTGTCGAAGGCTGTATAAGTAAGTGTACCTACCTATTTTAGGGGTCCAAAACCCAGAAGAGCGCTCAGTTTCCATCCCATGCGTATCCTTCATACCAAAAGTGATATGGAGACTTTATGGTCACGAGAGAAGCCAGAAATTTTTCAGACGAAGAAAACTCCCCCCTACGGTGGCTCTGTACCTTTGTACTCGGACATAGATGACAGTTCTGTAATACGAAGAGGGAAATACAATCAAACCAAAAAAGTAACCGGGGCTCTGGGAGGGGAGCTTCACCTGAGGGTCAAATTTCCGTATAATAAATTGGCGGGTTTTTCTTGTCGCTCGTGCCCCTTTGCGACTCGTAACTTTTGTAAGGGTCTCGTTGTCTCTACGGAGTACGCCGCAAAGAACAAGCACAAGACGCGTTCCTCTTCTAGCAGAGGCCGCGGCGCGTGAGATGGACCGGATGGTTGATAGCTAGTCAGGCTAGTTCAGGGGTTCGTTGATGATGGCCTCGGTATTGGGGGATTGGTGATGGGCAGCCTTATTATTCACAGCGTTCCTACCTCTGCAAGTGTACAAAACACTGCAGCCTCAACTGTGTTGCCCTCTCGTCCATGAGTTGTTCAACTCCATTGTCTTCCGGACCCTCTCCCTCTCATCTGATACTCAGCCACTGGGCCTGGCCTTGCTGGAAGGAAGGGACAGTAGGACTGGACTGTCCGACTCAGTCAATGCCATACCTGCGCCGATCCCGCGAGCCAGAGGTCTTGTGACGCCGTTTGGGCGCTGGACGAATGGAAATGAGTTATACAGAGGTTGCATAAAGATGATGGAACAGGCGCTTCCTGGGGCCGAGATTTGGGGGGGAATAGAAATGTTTGGAACGTGGAGAGAGACGCAAAAGATACGTAGCTACAGCCTGTCCGTACAGGTAAGGTACTTATGGTGGAGAACGTGTTGAAGCCAATTGGACGCGCCCATGTCCTTTCAGCGAATGACAGGTGCGGAAAAGGGGGGCCCACTGCCCGAGCTCCCGAAGCGAGAGCCGCCCGCTGTCAGCACTGTCCACTGGTTGGCTCATCTCTGAGAGCTCAGGACCAGAGGTACCTTATCGCTGGTGCTGGCTGTCAGGGGTAAGGTACCGACCGCTAAACTTGTTTCCTCTTCCCGAGACGAGAAGCTTGGGAAAACAGAGAAACAGAACGATAGAGCCTGAGGGCCATGGGGCAATGCCGTGAGAGGTTCCCAGGAGCCATGTTCAGGCATCTGTTCGCGAGTAGTCCTGCATACGTATTTTGGGTGGCTTCCGCCCAATGTTCTGGCCTGGCTTGTAGACGTCTTGCTGTTCTCGTCGGGTGTCAGTGCTTCAGACAGCGCTGGGGATGCATCCTCTGCCTTGAGTTACCTTGGTTAGTGCAGCGCCTGTGCCGGGCATGCATACATTGGATCGTCTCTAGGTAGAGCCTAGTCAGAAGTAGGTACCTCATTCTACGCTTGGCTTGAGATGATGGTGGGAAAAGGGTCCTGTCTGTGATCTGAGGTACCTCACGGGCACAAGAGTACGGAGTACTTGAAGCTTATGACTGATTGTTGGACATGGCCAGCGTCGTCTCCAGCGTCTCCATGTCCCCCATGTTGCTCCATCCGCCAATCTCGAAGCAACCCTTTTTTTTTTTTTTCTCTCTTACGGAGTACTGCGTAAATCCTCTACCAGGAGTCCAGGACCCATGGCCTTACCTAATTAGACACCTCACCTTTCTCTACCTCACCCAAAGGTACCGGCTCAATTCCTTCCTGTGCCTTCGGTCCAGCAATCTCCCAGCTCCCAATTCCTCTTCAACCCCCTCTCTCACACCTCTGTCCAGCTCTTTCGCCACTGTTCAGAGCTTCTCAACTTGTAGATATCACGACGGCATTTCCGTGTCGTTTCGTGCGTCATTTGCACTCTTGTTTCGGCTTCCCTTTCAACTATTTTGTTCCCATCGTTCTGTTGATTTCCCCCGCGGTGAAAGTTTAAGCTTTCCCAAACAAGGAAAGTCAAGCGGCAAGGAGAAGGGGAAAAGGATAAGAAGTAAAGAAGAAGAAAAAAAAAGGAGACGACCAAGCAAGACACTACCGCGTACGACGTGTCGCAAGGTAAGTCACAACAACCAAGCACCAAATTCATCCTTCTCCGACCTCAATTGTCGTCTTTTGAGAGCTCAATGCAGCTCTGCATAACCATCCCAGAGACCTTACCACCCCAGGAATGCTGGAATGCTGTGGCTCCCTCCACAATGTTGCTCTTCCGCCTACTTCCCTCCTTCGTCTCTCCCAATTCCTGCAGCTACCCGAGATTCCTTCCCCAGTACTTCCTCATGAACTGCCTTAGCTGACCTGGATAACGCGCAAGCAGAACTACCCGAACGACGACACCCTCTCCTCCTCCCGAACGTCCTACCACCATCGTCCACAATCATGTCCGACGCCGGTAGCTTCGAGGTCGTCCAGCACGACGAGGCCCCCAAGCCCGCCGCCGCTGCTGCCACCACCTCGCCGAGCACAAAGTCCACCGCCTCAGCTGCCTCTTCCCTGAAGAAGCCCGCTTCGAGCTCTGGAACCACCGCCGCTGCCCGCCGCCCGACGACGTCCACCTCGAGCACCGGAAAGCCTGCGAGCACCACCTCCTCCACTACTTCTCGTGTCGCCGGCGGCCTGACCAAGCCTCCTACCCGTCCCCCCGGAAGCAGCTCCAGCACTGCCAGCAGCACCGTCCGCAAGCCCGCGAGCACCTCCTCCACGGCCACCCACCGCTCGCGACCCAGTGTATCCGCCTCCGAGGACGAATCCAAGAGGACAGCCCGCCGTACCTCCACTGTTCCCAGCAGCAGTGCCGCCTCCCCGAGCAAGGAGAGAAGGACTTCCACCCTTGGTACCGCCACGGCCGCCGCCAGGAAACCTGCCAGCTCCACCAGCAGCTCGTCCGCCGCTCCGCGACTCTCCTCGACGACATCGCGCACCCCGAACTCGGTAGCCCCGCGTCCCTCCTCGATCAGCTCCCGCTCCTCCGCGGCCACCAGTACCGGCGCCGTTGCCGAGGCCAAGAAGCGCCTGTCCACCGCCTCCACCTCCACCACCTCCTCCGCCGCTCCCAGACGCTCCATCCGCCCCGATTCGTCCGGCGCCTCCGAGGCCCTTGGAAAGGAGGTCGAGTCTCTCAAGGCCCAGCTCACCGAGAAGGAGACCCAGCTCGCGGACAAGGAGTCGCAACTGAACGAGCTCAAGACACAGGTCCAGCAGACCCAGGACAAGCTCACCCAGTACACCGACGGGGTGAACAGAGATGCCGTTCAGGTGAGGAACGCCGTGTACAACATCCAAAAGGCCCACCAGGACCAGGTTACCGAGTTGAAGGCTAAGCAGACGGAGCTCGAGAACCAGGTGGATGAGGCCAATGAACATCTAATGGCCACCGATGCTGACTACGAGAAACAGCAGAGCGACTACACTGAGGCTGTTGCCGCCAAGGAAGCCGCCGAGGCCGAGCTTGCCTCGATGAAGCAGTCCCTCGAAACGCTCCAAGCGGAGCACGACGAGAAGCTCAAGGAAAGCGAGTCCGCCCTGGCCAAGGCCTCGGAGGAGCACGCCGCCAAGCTTGAGGAGCTGCAGAGCTCCCTGACGGACCAGCACAAGTCTGCTATTGACGCTCTTGAGGCCAAGCACAGCGAGGCGCTCAGCCAGGGCCAGTCCGCCTCCGCCGACAACGAGGAAGCGCTGTCCAAGATGAAGGACAGCCACGAGACCGCCATCGCCGAGCTCCAGAAGAAGATTGACGAGCTCACCGCCTCCCAAACCGAGCTCGAGGCCGCTCACGAGAGCAAGGTCTCTGCCGAGGTCGAATCGCACAACACCAAGCTCGCCGCTGTTGAGGGCGAGATCGCCGAGCTCAAGACCAAGCTTGAGACTGCCGAGAAGACAGCAGAGCAAGCCAAGGCTGACCTCGACGCCAAGACGGCTGAGCTGGCCGAGGTCCAGGCCAACGTCGCCGACCTGGAGAGCAAGCTTGCGGCTGCTGAGACCGACGTTGCGAAGGCCAAGGAGGAGGCTCTCGAGTTCCAGAAGCAGATTGACAGCATCAAGGAGGAGATCACTGCCAAGGACGAGGCCCTGGAGAAGGCCAAGGCGGAGCACTCTGCCCAGGTCAAGAAGCACGACGCCGAGCTCAAGCAGATTTCCCAGGACTACGAGGAGGAGATTGAGTCCCTCAAGGGAGACGCCTTCTTCAAGCGCAAGTTCCAGGATCTCGAGGTCAAGCACACCGAGCTCGAGACTGAGCATGGCGACCTGAAGACCAAGCACACCGAGCTGGAATCGCAGCATAGTGACCTGACCAAAAAGCACGGCGAGCTGGAGTCGAAGCACACCGAGCTAACCACCAAGCACG